TTATTTTTTTTATTTTAATTACTTTGTTTTTGTTTCGCTTTGAAGGATTATGTCTCTTTGTATTGTTCTGTTCGTGGCATTAATAAAAAAAAATACATTAAATTATTTCATTATTAGTAATTGGCTCTTTCATTTGTATTTGTTTTATTTATTTTAATTCTTTAGGTTTTATTAGTATTTATTTTTCGTCCCATTTAGTTATTTTTGTAATATTCGACAAAAACAAATACATTAGGCCATTGATTTAAACATTTAACAAATTATAATTTTTCTGATAAAATATGGACGAACAGGTTGTTTGTTTATTTGTTTAGGTTTAACAAGTCAGAAAAGGAGAAAAGAGCTGTGTTTGTCTGTTTGATGTCCTCAATATCAATCGATCTTATTTGACTTAAATATCCAAACTATTCTTTGCAATCATGCTAACTTCAAACCCATAAACAGCTGTGCTATTGCTGTTTTCGGGGTGGGGATTTTTGTAACTGTTCACTATTAACCCCTTATGATGAGTCAAGTAGCCTAATCATCAGTCACCTCCGGTTAAAGCTGCAATACCTAAGATTTAGATGCCGCTAGAGGGCGCTACATTCAAAACAACAACAATGGCTTTGCTTGATGACGACGTGGAGGAACGTGGAATGATGGGAACTGTTGTTTTCAACTCCACAGTGGATAAATCAGTCAGACAGGAATCGAAAATTAGTTGTCATGGATGAGGTAAAGTTCGATTTCTATAAACGTTGCGTTTAATGACATGCTTGTTTTTCATTAAACTGAAATAACCGCAAGAAAAGTCAGGTTTAAAAGTAAATTAGTTACTGTACGAGTCACTAGACGAAGCTATGGTGGAGAGGGTTTGAAGGGGCAGGTCTCTTGCAAGGAGTTGACGTGGCTGGTCCTCCTTGGTAACTTTATAAAAATAAAAAATCAATTTAATGTACATTTGACACATCTTTTTATGTCGTGTAAGTAGCTACAGTTTCACAAAATTAACGTTAAGGGGGTCGCACACCGGACGAGAAGCTGCAGCGCCGCGTCGCGCCACATCTTTAAAATTCGAACACATTATTATCTATAAGTGTATACATACCGGCGGCGCCATTCGGCGTCTGTCCGTGGCGCCCAGCAACGTCTCAGGACCTTGTTCAAAATCCTGCTGCGCCACAGAGCGCCATTTACATAGTTTTATATAAAATTTTAATTATTTTTGTCTCAAATCGTTGCTAATGGATCCTGACTTCGCCCTATGCTGCAATATGCATTTAGTTTTGCAGTAATTTACAGAAATCAGCTGCTTGAATGACAATTGCTGATGTTTTCATTAGAATTTTCAGGTGAGATTCTCAATTCATTCAGTGAACGGATGCTCTGAGGTAAAGTTTTCAGAATGCAAACTCAGCAACGATTGTATTTAATTGTACAGTACAATCATAACATAGAACAGACATTATCTTCATTTCATTATTCATTAACGTCATTAAACATAACAATATTGCTGGCCATACACTGATGAGAAAGTGCGCGTCCGGTGTTCGATACTGTGGAGTTGTCCTAAACGTGGCGCGACGCTTCTCGTCCGGTGTGCGACCCCCTTTACAGCCAACAGTTCACATTCCGAGAATAAATGAAAAGAATAATTGTGCTCCATTCCATAACAAATGCGCGAAACAAGCTGACGTTTGTTGCTTGATAGACGCTAACGCACAACTACAACTACCGCATTTGTCCAGGACTACACGTAGTACGAGCGGAAACCGAGGTAAGCGGATATGACGCGATTGACTGGCGATTTCCAGCTCACCCCTGCTCACACGCCCCGTTTCCTTGGTTAAAATCTCAATTTTCTCGCGATTTAAACATTGTTTGAAACATTTGGAATATTGTGAGTTATCATCATAACTAAGTATATAACACTGGCCTTGCAAAAATCTTAGGTATTCCACCTTTAAGGCAAAGTCACCTGATTTTTTTTTTTTTGATTTTTTTTTTGCATCCAAGGACAAGGGATTTGTGTGGGTAAAGTGTTTTAATTTTTTGACATTTGAGTATAAAGTGTTTTAATTCTACAATATATGGTGTAAAAACGTCTTGAGTGCTGCCCTCTTCAGGTTGAACAGTGGCTACTGCAGTTGAATTCTCCAATTGGAATTTGTGGTGCCCTGTGACGTCAGAGGGTACCAGCTAGCCATGCCCTTGCCTTCACAGAGAGATGTGTCTCAGGTCCACGCCCACTCCCAGTCTGCGCGTTTGTTTTGAGTTGTGAGTGCGTTTTGAGTATTGGATGGAGAAGATTCAAGCTTTGCTGCTTTTGTGTGTGATTGGATTAAGCTTTCAACTTTCCATCAACAGGTTCTCCAATACTGGAAACTCACATACAAACATAACTTTACTCCTCACACGGTCCCAATGTGGAATAAAAGAAGTATATTAATTAAGAGAAAATCTTTTTTCTACAGTGAATGGATGGAAAAAGGAGTCTGGTCAATAATGTTCATTTATGAGATAATTATGGTAACTTCTTAACATATGATGTCTTAAAAATACAGTTTGATGTGCTCTGAGAGGCAATTTAAAACTGTAATTCAGGCAATCCCACAAGTTCTGATCACTTTAGTAAGAGGCATGTTAACATACTCTGTGGTTATTCCTAGAAAGCCCACTTTAATCATAGATGCATATCATTTCTTAGATAAAAATAAATGTAATAATAAAGTTTTTAGAAATGTTCTCACTTCAATCTGCTTCCCTTCACCATTCAAGAGAAAACATATCTTGGAGAAATTCACCAGCAATTGTTTAGGGAAGATAAGAACCAGTTACCTTTCTTTTCCTATTTCACCGAAGGTAAAAGAGGTTCACATCAAAGTGATGAATGAGATGTATCCATGTAACAACTTCTTGCATCAAAGATTTAATATGGATGTGAATGTTTGTACTTTCTGTAATTCTGACATTGAAACCGCAGAACATCTCTTCTTCTCTTGTAACCCAGACCTTCTGGGATGCTTTCCAGTACTGGATCACGTATGATACACAAAATATTCAGATTTTAACGTATGAATATTAAATTTGGACTTCAAATGGAGAACAGAACAACTGAGTTTGGAGTGAAGAATCTGATTTTAATGGACAAATATTTCATGCACAAATGTCCATTTCTTAAAACATCCCCTGTTTTTAATGCCTTTCTAAATGATATAATTCTGTATAAACAATCCCTGAAATGTGGCAAAACAAAAAAAAAGCCCTAGTTTTTCATGAATACTTATGCAAACTTGTGTGTGTTTACCCGGAACTTCATTTTTAGACCCTGGCTCCTGTGGTGTAAACCATAGGTGAAAACACACAGAGTACCACCCCAAAGTTCCTAGTTCCTGGGGAAAGTTCCTACGGTGGAAACGCGGCAGTTTGAGAGATACATAGATAAATTCTACAAACAACCACAGATTTACATATTCTCAAACAATAAGCGCTACTATACCATCCCCGGGATTCAAATGTGTGAAACATACAAAAGTCACGTTGTAAAAAAAAAATAAAAAAAAAATAGTTAAATATATGAGATAATGCAATTTGTAGGGTGAAAAAATTGACCTTTTTTCTCAATAATAATAAAAATAACAAACTCTAACACTTATAATATTGAAGATGAAATATACTGCTTAACAACATCAGAATAATGAGATGAGGCCATTTCTGACCATATGTGTGTAAACAGGTGTGAGCTGTACACAATGACAGTAAGGTCAAAGTCTAGCAGATTCTAACACACACACACACACACACCTGTGGAGACACATACTTCTCATTTCAGAGCCTCTTTTGTTTGCTTTTCTTCTGCAAAATTAATTGGCCCATAACTAGGGCACAGTGGTGATGGTGAAAGCTTGAAAATGAAAAATGTATGTTACATTCGTGTGTAATGTAAAGTATGAGGGATAATAATATGACTTTGTGTAATGTAAAGTATAAGGGATAATAATATCACATACAATGATATTTAAAAAATGCAATAATGACAAAAAAATAAATAAACATACAATGTTATTTCTATAGTATCTTTTAAGCATAAGATGCAGCTCGAAGGTCAAAATATAAACAATATATCGTTAAAAAAGCATAAAATTAAATATAGAGTGTTATATAGCACCTTTTCATATAAAATGCAACTCAAGGGAAAAATTATATACACAAAAATTATTATGAATTATTTAATAAAAATATTTTAATACAAATAAAAATGTTTATATTAATAAAATTAATTATTACATACAAAATAATTATTAAAATAAATTATTATGCACAGTATTATCAATATTTATGTTAATACAATTAATTATTTAATACAAATAATTATTAAAATAAATTATTATACACAATATTAGAGGAAAAAACATTAAAACAATAAGCAACAAGAACGACAACAGTTAGTGCTGTCAAATTGATTAATCACGATTAATCAGATCTAACATAAAAGTTTGTAAATATATATATAATATGTGTGTTTGTGTGTGTATATACATATACATAAAATTGCTGGGTTGTTTTAACCCAACTTTGGGTCAAACATGGACAAACCCAGCAATTTTTTAATTAAATTTTTAACCCAACGTTTGGGTTTGTCCATATTTGACCCAACCCAGCATTTTTAGAGTGTATACTTGTAGCTTTTATGTTAGATGTGATTAATCGTGATTAATCGATGTGGCAGCACTAATAAAAAGAAAAACGTATCAAAACTGATTTCTTCAGGATAACAGAAGCATCAGAAGTCCTTCATTTCTCTTCATCTCGATCTTTTATAAACCTGTTTCACAAACGAGAACTGCACTTCACAAAACGTAACTCGAACCCCATAATCTCTCTCCACCTTTAGCTTATCATCTTATTGACTGATGATATTTCAGGGTCCACCCAGTTTCTTATCTTCACATCGTACTCATTTGTATTTCACACTAACTGGGCACTTCCAAACTGATGAGGCAATGAGTAATCAGAGGATGTGGGCGAAAACATGCGGCCCCTCCCTGGACTGCTTCCCATCTGTGTGAGGTTAGTGTGTGAAGACTAACCAGGAGTTACACACACGGACGACGGACGAAGCCAAGAATTAAGCAGGTGAGGAGGATCAGTTACAGTCCTGCTAGAAAATGCGAGTATGAGTGATCTATTGACGACATTTTAAAGGCTAACGCATCGAAATCAAGGTGTAACTCTATATATATTTGACATTTGAGGATCATCATGGTAACCCTGAACACTCAATCTCTGACCGCACCGGTGGGACTAATCCGACTGTTTGAGTTTGTGCTGACGCTCATCACCTTCAGCCTGGTGGCTTCTGTGGGCCACAGCGGCTCTTCATTCTGGGCCTGGTGCATGTTCACCTGGTGCTTCTGCTGTTTCATGACCCTCCTCATCCTCATCCTGGAGCTCACCAACCTGAACACCAAGGTGCCCATTTCTTGGGACGACTTCACCACGGCTTTTGCGATGCTGTCCACGCTTATGCTGTTGGCCGCGTCGGTCATCTACCCCAAGTTCTTCGCGTGCTCCACGTGTGCGACCCAGATCGCGGCCACAGTGATATCCTGCGTGTGTTTCGTCTTGTACGCGGCGGAGGTGGGTCTGACCCGGGCCAAACCCGGGGAGATCAGCGGGTTCCTGTCCACCGTGCCGGGCTTACTGAAGGTCCTGGAGGCGTTCGTGGCCTGCATCATCTTCATCTCTCTGGATTCGGGGTTCTACCAAATATATCCAGGGCTGCAGTGGTGCGTGGCCGTCTACTCAATCTGCTTCATCGTCTCGCTCCTCATCATCCTCCTGACGATCGGACGCTTGCTGGCTCGATGCCCCTTCCCGTTTGACAAGTGTCTGACGGGGTTCAACATACTGGCGGTTCTAATGTACTTCACGGCTGTGGTGATATGGCCAATCTACTGTTTTGAGGGCAACCCGAGATCAATGTTATGCCCGTCAAATCAAATATACTGTCCATGGGACAGCCTGGTTGTTGTGTCCTGCATGACTTGCATCAATCTGATCGTCTACATTGTGGACACGGTTTACTCAGTGCGTCTGGTGTTCTTCGTTTCACCTGCCTAAACCACCTTGGTTGTGCGATACATCGTCATTGTATTGCATCAGATCGGATGAGTCGTTATACAGGAAGTTTTCCGCATGACCGACTGACAGTTTATTGGTATTGTATTTTGAAACAATGTCGAAATATTTGAGAATATTTAGAAATGTCTGGTTTGTAACACTGTCTTTTATCAGTAATCTGATTAACACTGCTGTCGGTGCTGTCAAATCGATTAATCACGATTAATCGCATTTAACATAAAAGTTTGTTTATATAATAGATCTCTCTGTGTGTGTGTATACATATAATAGAATCAATCACGATTAATCGCATTTAACATAAAAGTTTATTTATATAATCTGTGTGTGTGTCTGTGTGTATATAGTATAATAGAATCAATTAATCACGATTAATCGCATCTAACAAAAAAGTTTGTAAATAATTAATACATGTGGGTATAAATTTAAAAAATACACACACACTTGTGTGATATATATATATATATATATATATATATATATCACTTACAATACAATATGTCACATACAATTATATATATATATATATATATATAATTCTTTAATCACGAATTGTGCATAACTGTATCTAATATAAAAGTTTCGTTTTTTTATTACCCCAAACTTAACATATTGTTCCCTTGTACTTACATGGAAGTACACTATAATTACAGAAACGTACACCGTAATTTCAGTGTACTTACACAGTTGTTTGCAGGTCGTAAAATAAAGTGTTACCAAAGTTTCTAAACAAATGACACACACACACACACACACACACACACACACAGGTATATATATTTACAAACTTTTATGTAAGATTAATTGTGATGACAGCACATATATTTTTTAACAATAAAAAGGCATCTGATTTCTTTTAACTTTGAGTAAATTGGTAGTGTATTTTTTATGATAGAAAATGTTATTAAGATTATAATAACATTTGAAATAAATCCCCTTTGCCCTAAGTTTTTGTTTATGTGGCATCTGGTCATTGAAGCGATTCAGCATGTCTCCTTTGCTATCAGTGTTTGCAAATGAACTGGGCAGTAAAGAAAGAAAGAGATACAACTTAGGCTATCATTTGATTTTCATCATGATATGTTTATGGCATCATAAAAACGTCTCGGGTGCTCTCAACATGATGTCAATCCAAGACTTCACGGTTTTATGGACACTGCCATGTTTGGCACTGTCGCTATGCGTACCGCTATGGTTAGTTAGCAAGCTGTAATGCGGTTGTGACTTCAGCCGTTTGGTCATAAAACTGAATGAACATATTCTTTAATCTCCAGACTAAACATGAAGAAGGATTCACACCTGTAAGCAGTTGGATGGGAGGATTTTTACCACAATAGGGTGGTTACTGTGGAGATGTTCAAACAATTTAAAAGAGAATTTTGCATAATATGGGCCCCTTTAAATTACTTATTATCTATTGGATTACCCAAAGCACTTCTTATAGCGACTCTTGTTCAAGTTAACAATACCAGGCAGTCTCTGTCTATACACATTAACCTTTCTGCTCTATTTCAAATGTCATTAGTTTATCAGCTAAATGTCAATAAAACTTCAGTTAAACATACTCATATTTCAACAGATCAATGCGTATGCTTAAAGGTGCCATCTACCATAATAAATCAAATCCTACTCCATATTCCATAACAGATGGGGGCAGTATACCTCCAAAAAATGACTTGTGCTCCTACCATCGCGCATGTTATTCAAATCATTTGACATGATAGTAAAAGGTTGGAAGACCGCAGTTTCACGTGGAACATTTGGAGATTTTTAGAGATCAGAGACTCAATGAACTAAACACTAGAGTGAACTAAACTAAACACTATGAATCTCAACACTAAATGATGAAGACCGCCTCATAGATCTCAAAAACAAGCTGGTGCATTTCGACGGTATGGGAAAATAAAAGCTTGGGCAATTATTTGAAGTTTATGGTATTCGTTTTGTTCATATTACACTTTTATTGTTAGTGAATTAATTTGACAGACAGCATTCGCTGATGTTGATCAAGCTAGCGCCGTGAATTCACCGTGAGACACACGCAATTGACACTTAGCAAGCAGGTTAGTTAAAGCTCTCAGATTCTGTCAATTATATTACGCAATTCAAACAATAAATACCGTTTTGGCGCTTGTACATGTTACACTACAGATCCCTAGCGCACGTGAACCGATCGTCTCTACTAGCTAATGGAAAAAGAACACGAACACTGTTGAAAGATACAGTATGCTACAACTTACCAAAATGTATTCCTCATGCATAATGTCGACCAATCATTTTTTGAACTCTTCCCTGAACTGAAATGTAGTAATTGGCTGTATTTCCACACGACTGACATCAGGTTCAAGTACACATACACACACACACACACACAAGCCGACGCGAGCGCGACTCACTCGCGTATTGCAGTTTGGCTGGTGCTAACGTTGCCCGTCCGCATACCGCCTCCCATGGCCGGAACTGGTATTACGACACCTGCCGGGCCGGGGCTAGTAATTTAGCATGCTAATTCAGGTTTATATCTCGGCAGCACTATAACTTGTCAGTTTTTTAATGACATCTTTGCACTTATTTCTTCTCATTCTTTTGATGCGTGTAGCTCATTTTTCGTATATTGTTACCTCAATTATTGTATATGGCACCTTTAAGGGAAATGATGTCATTATGGCCAGCTGACTGCTTTAAAAGGTTAGTTTAAATTCAGTTTTTAAGCTTTTAAAAATTGATCTAAACATCTTATTTAGGTTTTTATCTATCTATTTTTGAACCTGGATTTCAGCATGAAAAAATTGCAATAAAAACCAGTAGCACCTATCGCACCTATCACCTATACTTAGACCTATCGCCCTAACATCACATCTATGCAAGTGGATGGAAGATACTAGTCTAGACTAGTACTAAAAGAATACTAGAAGACTTAATTATACCCTTGAACACAGAGGGTTATTGGCACCATATCAAAGTGGGTTCAGAAAAGGTCGTTCCACAATGGATGCTGTTGTGAAAGTAAGCAACGAGATAGAGAAAACGTTTAAAATGAAAGAAATAATGAGTATTGTGTTTTTTGACATTGAAAAAGCTTATGATTCCATGTGGAGAGAAGGGCTGCTAATTAAATTTAAAAAAACGGGAATTAGAGGTATGTTTTATAACTGGGTCTTAGATTTTCTGTCAGAAAGAACATTTAGAGTTAAAGTGGGAACAGAAGTGGGGTATGGTTAACATGTTAAATTAAATGATCGTTTTTTTCGTTGTCGCCTACCGAAAATGTGCTGGAGCCCACTGTTGCTGTAGGAATGAACTACACTTTTACATGCATCTGATTGACATATAAATCATGTGATCTTATTTCACTGTTTTTCAGCTTTGTACATAGTTTGCTTCGTATATTTAGTTTAACTGTATAGATAAACAGGGCGAGCTTTACCATTAATTGAACTGTGTACATGCATTTTAGACACTTAGGCCTAACGTTACTTGTTCTTGCTCCGTCCGTCCATGATGCAAACCGCGTCCATGTTATTAGCCGAGCTTTTTTATTTACTTCAACTGCTCAGTGCTCTGGCATTATCAATGGTATGACCCATTTCAGTAGTTGCCGTAATTAAATATGAGCAGAATACTCACTTACATTCACTGAAATATTGAAACGTTAGCGCTACTGATTCAAAAACACGAGCGCCAGTGATTGAATGTCAAAGCGCGGTTTGAGCGCCCTGCCCGCCAGCCGAACTGGAGGTTTTGATTGGTTTTGCACCCGAGTGACGGATTAGGAACTCGTGGGTACGGTTTATTAATCCGTGGGCACGAATTGTTAAACCGAGGGAAAAGTTTAAGAATTCGTGAGTAGGCTACAGTTTATAAACTTATGCAAAACCGTCGCGTCGTACTTCTTGGGCTCCGTAGGAATCAGAGCTCGTCTCGATGTAATAGAAAAGCTCAACAACGCCGTCGGTGAGAGAAAGTCAGTAAACTGAATTATTGGTGGACTCAACTTTCATCGTGTAACGTTATAGAATAATATATTAACTTTATAGGCTTTAGTTAGTTAGGGGCGTGCAGAAACTTGTGGTTGGTGCTCTACAGTTTAGTGAAGGCAAAAAATAAGACACATAGGCTATGTATTATTACTACAAGTAGCCTTATCTACATTCCTCTCATGGACTTATTGTGCTGACAGGTCATTCTCTCTTTTCAAGTTTTTAAATCAAAACAATAACCTTGTATTCCTGCGGCTGCTGCTCGACGTCATCGGAATGCATTCTATTCGACACGTCACAGTACTAGACGCTGCAAACCTCTACTGAAACTCGTGACTTGTTGCCTTTAGTCAGCTATTGATTAGTGTGCAGTTTTATAGTCTATTGCAGTTTTATATCTGTTTGGATCTGTTTTTAAGTACAGTTGAATTGCACATTGCAGCTATGTACGGTTTCAGATCATACAATTTGACCAGTAGGATTCCTGCACAACCTGTGCGTGGTTCAAACATGCCTTCACTGAGACCACAACCACCGTCTAGACTGAGACCACAGCCACCGTCGACAATGCGACCTCAACCACCTTGTAGACTGAGACCACAACCACCATCTACACTGCGACCTCCTCAACCACCTTCTAGGCTGAGACAACAACCACCGCCTCAACGACGCCCAGGAGGCATTGCGACGATGAGGGTAAGTAAGAAGGCTATCATAGGATTCACTGTGTTTTTTCAACCATCATCGGTCATTATTAACACTAAGCTTGCGTTCATTTGTTGAGCTTTGTATTAAGGTGTTTTCTTATTCTTATGTATCATCAACAGGAACCCACTCGCCAGAACAAAATTATGATAAATGAAAAGTCCCGGATGTCCAGCCGAGGGCAGTGTGTCAAGCTTCCTCCTATCCCCGGCTCTTCCCGAGATGACTGCTCAGACCTCAGCCAGAGCTTCGAGAGAGTCCTCCGCCACCAAGATAACCTCATTAAGGTGACTACTCATATATATATATATATATATATATACTTGACTCTCAGTTTTACTTCTATAACTTTCATTACAGAGCCTTGGAATAACAAATGTGTGTGTTTTACAGAACATGGTGGATGAGCTGTCTGAGAGGGACCAACGGCGGTCAGAGCTGGCAAGCAGTTCTCGTCTGCAGGTGGACAGTCTGTTAGAGCGTCATGTGGTTCGGCTGGAAGAACTAGCGTTCGACTTCAACAACAAACTCGAAGAACTTTGCTCAGAGTATTATACTGAGAGGTAACACACACAAATAATCACACAAAAATAGTGTTTTGTTTTCAAGGGCTGGCCAGTTTACCAGTTCCTGAGAATTTAAATCCGATCATTCTTTTTAGGATATACCTTTTAACTTTAGAAAATGCTGAAGAGACAATGATGTTTACACTGTTTTCCCACCAAAAGTGACGTCATGAACAGGATTACACACAAAAAACAGTATTATATTGTATACAAAAAGATCTAAATGGGGACATGAAAATGCACTGCAAAGGATTGAGCCAATGTAGTAACGTCTGTGTGTTATTTCTTTTAATTTCCAGGGAGCTGATTCTTTCAGAGCAGCTGCAGGAGATTGTGAATTTGGAGAAGGCAATATTTTCCATGGAAAAGCACTACGCTGAGATTGAGGATGAGGCGAGACGTGACTATAAGAGCAGTCGCGAACAAATTAAAAAAAAGGTACTGGTTTTATTATGTTTATATTTATTCGTTTGGCAGATGCTGTTATCCAAAATGACTTAGTAATGAGGAACATCACCAGCAATTTGTCATAGTGCCATATTCATGGGTTTAGTAAAAACTAGAATTAGTCAACAAGCTAGAGCAAAGGAAAAAATACAAAAAAAATAGAGTTAAAGTAAATGTCTTGGTTTAAGTCTTTTTAATGATCACCAATGGAGTAGAGCTAAGGGAGCACAATGACCAAGTCGGCCAGACAGAGTTTAGAGTTTTGAAAATGTGATTACAGATTGGACAAAAGGATGTTAGCAGTTGGGGAAATAAAACATAATCATAAATCAAAAACATAATCTTAATAATATGTTGTCTGTTTTATTTCTGCAGCACAAAGAGGAATATCAAAATTTGAAAAAACAAACGGACGAGGTTTTGAAAAAAAGGCGACGAGAGAGAAGAGTGCATCTGTGACCAGGAGAAAAAAGAATACGACTCTCTGCTCCTCGAGGTTGAGTAGGGAGATAAAGAGACTGAGGCCTATCAACAGCGCATTCAGAAATTGGAGCCCAGACAAAAATTCTGTTGTTTTTTTTTTACTACTTTTTTCTTTCAATTGTGATATTTTATTATTTTGATGATTTTATTGCAATTTAAACTGTACAAAACTTCGTTACTTCATTCAGACCGTGACAAGATCGCCCAGTCAACACCGCAGAGTCCAAATGAGGGCAGACCGAAACAGCAGCTCACTAAACCTACCATTCAAAGCAACAATGCTGTTAAAAAACTACAGGAGACAACAGCTCTGGTAACCTAATTACACCCACATTTAATATATACACTCATATTTTATTATTATTATTATTTTATGATTAGTTAGAAAGAAAGATGGATTTGTTGGATAGATAGATAGATAGATAGATAGATAGATAGATAGATAGAAAGAAAGAGGCTGCGTCCGAAACCGCATACTTCCCTACAATATAGTAGGGAAAAAGCAGTAGGCGAGCGAATAAGTATGTCCGAATCCTTAGTATCCATAAAAGAGTAGGCGAGATTTACCAGAGTGATTAATACTACTAATTATCGCGAGATTCCGGCATACGTATACTTATAGTATGTCCGAATATCCCTACTTTCGTACTATATAGTAGGGGAAAACAGTATTTGAAAGGAGTAGTATGTCCGAAATCTCAGTACTCATAAAAGAGTAGGCGAGAAGTTCCCGGATGATCTCGCCCAGATTTTTGAGTGTTCATCCAATGGATACTCTTCTATCCCAGGAGGCCACGGGAGAGCATACGATTAAAAGTGAGTTAACACATCAACCTCAGCATGTAAATTCAGTGTTGAGCTCGTAATGTGAATCGTATGTTACAGGGACAGAAGAACACGCGTGTGTTTATCCGGTGGAGAGAGGCTCATGATGCTGAATGCTTTCATCAAAGGCTTTGAGTGAGTATACTACAGAAATGGATAACAAAATCTATTCAATCTTAAATTGTAGTTTATTTGTTACAATAATAATTTGAATTATTGTAAATTCAAGTAGAGAAATTATAACACTTTTCTGATTCTTGATTTCTGTGCATTTGCTGCAGAGCTTTTGTGGTGGAGCAGGACCTGCAAGGAAAGATGATGGCAGCATTTGTTTTAGGGATTTTACTCAAATATAAAGTAAGGTTATTTTTAATACATAAATCAAATGACATTGTGTGTTAAAATGACTGCTTTTGTATAATGTTTGTGCATTTTTGTAGGATCTGAAATGTCTGCAGACTGCTGTGAGCACTGAGGATGAGGAGCCCAGAGCTGCATCCTAGAAGTGGTGCCATGGATGAGACCCTCTATCGCTCCACCTGCCTTTACGAGACCCTCTATCTCTCCACCTGCCCTTATTGCCTCATATTGTGAAGCACAGCGCAGCAACAAGCTCTGGGACGAAGGCACGGTCACCTCTGGTGAATTCATCAGAATAAAGCCGCAGAATGGGAACCGCTGTGTTGAGTCGGCAGTAGGATGTGGTGTTCAGCGCCTGTAAATACATGTTTGTAGTTTGAATAAAGCTTTGTTTCATGTGTTGTTGACTTGTATTGTTTATTGTGATGGTTACTTTTATTTGTTCTTTTACTCATTTATTCATTTTTATTATTGTTGTCAGTATTTAAAATGTAATTGTTTAATTAATGTATCCATTAATTCATCGACTGACTGACAATTGAGATGTTTCACTGCATTTGCATTTATGAATATAAATGTATTCATGAATAACTGTCATATGAAAAAACAAATTACATTTTGCTTGTTATATTAAAGGGTTAGTTCACCCAAAAATGAAAATTAAGTCATTAATTACTCACCCCCATGCTGTACCAACCCCGTAAGACCTTCGTTCATCTTCAGGACACAAATGAAGATATTTTTGTTTAAATTTGAGAGCTGTATAACTACCACATAGACTTCCGGGACTGGCTCTTGACGGCCCAGAAAGTCAATGAAGAAATTGTTTAAATATTCCATGTGACTACAGTGGCTCAACTATAAGTTTATCAAGCGACGACAATACTTTTTGTGCGAAAAAACAAACAAAAATAACGAGTTTATTCGACTATTCCATTTCTTCCTTGTTGGCCTGAAACGAGACTTCCATACGATTTCCACGACGCATGCGCAAGATGAACTGAAGTAGTGTAAGGAGATCGCAATTCTTTGTGTTCAAGTCATTTGTTTCATCAGGCAGATTTAATTAATTTAAGAATAATTAGACATATATTTGATTTAGACTAATAGTTCGCCTTTGAATGTCTAATCAGAAGTTTGTGTGTTATACCAGGCATTGAGCAATTAAGTGTACATATAGGCTAGGCTATTTATTTTTTGGAGGAAAAACGTAAAAGATTAGTGTGTTCCTGATACAAGCACTGTTTTATTTCAGCAAAGGAACCTGAAGGCCTGCGAGCAACAGCAAAAAAAATAACTAATATGCAAAAATAATTGGTAAAAAAAAAACTATTGAAACTGTTGAGGTGAAACTGCGCATGTGCGGGGTGAAACTGCTGGGGTGAAACTGTGGCTCTGTCTGCAGACTAATAAGCAAAAATAATTGGTAGATAAGGCTAAAACAAAAGATAAGTAAGGCAGGAAGAAAGTGGAACCTTAAAGGTTTACTAGGCACAACAGGAGATGGGGTAAAGGATACACAGAAAGCATACCATTTTTGAAAAACAGGAATATATAAGAGGATATTTTTCCTTTCCTTTCCTTTTTTTTTTTTTTTTTAATACAAAGTAGTCCCAACGAATAACCCGTGTTACATACTCTGATACAGTAGGTGGCGGTATAAACCTTTAAAGTCATGGTTGCAATCTGCCATAAAACGAAAAAAGACTGTCTATGTTCACAATGAAATCAAGAAGTGATCTGACTAATGTCATAACATATTGTTATGATCTACAACTGTGATAATACTTATGATTCAGTGTATCTCAAGCCCATTTCTGCCAAGTAATATAAAAAAAAATGATTTGGTAAATCATAAGAGACGAGATGAAAAGTCAAATTTATGAGATAAACTCACATTAAAAAGAGAGAAATGAGAAATTGTTTGTCATAATTACAACTTTTCATCTCATCTTTTTGACTTTTAATGCCATAACTTATTATACTCTCCTAATTATAATTTTTATCTCATAAGTTTACATTTTTGTCTCAACTATGACCGTTAATAACATATTATATAATCATTTAGAATTTTTACCAAAGCATTATTTATTTGTCTAAACGTTGTGGAGATTCTGTATCAAATAAAACTGAAGATGTAACAAAGAGAAAAGCTCCTTAAAGGGACAGTTCACTTTGAAATTAATTTTTGGTGTGTTTTATCTTACCTTAAGGGCATCCAAGATGTAGGTGTCTTTGTTTCCACAGTAGTTTCAATTTTGACATTTTTAGGTCAAACCGTTCTTGTCTGTCAGTCATATAATAGAGGTCTATAGTCACCACCTCAAAGAGCATGCACAGAGAAGTCCAAATTAAACATGATTTAATGACTCGTAAATGTAAGTACACATTGATGGCCTAAGACATGAAACGAGCTGTTTGTGTGAGAAAACGAACAGTATTTACATCGTTTTTACCTCTTGTAACCACAACCACAAAGCGTCTGCGCCCTCAGATCACTTGGGCTGCAGTTACAAGAGGTAAAAACAATATAAATACTGTTCGTTTTCTCACACAAACCGCTCGTTTCGTGCCTTAGGCCATCAATGTGTACTTACATTTACGAGTCATTAAATCATGTTTAATTTGGACTTCTCTGTGCATGCTCTTTGAGGTGGTGACCATAGACCTCCATTATATGACTGACAGACAAGAACGGTTTGACCTAAAAATATCAAAATTGAAACTACAGCGGAAACAAAGACACCTACATCTTGGATGCCCTTGAGGTAAGCTAAAACATATCAAAAATGAATTTCAAAGTGAACTATCCCTTTAAATTATTTTAGTATGCGTAGACAAAGGAAGAGTTATGCCGTATAGTTTATCTTTATCTTTAAAACATTCTCAACCCACACTCTACATCATACTGTTATCAGCACAAGTAAAATAATAACCCAAATGAAACCTTTGTGTACACTTCCCTCTGATTAAACCATTAAATATGTTGAGGAGGGACTGAAGCTCATAGGAGACGATTAGACCAGAGATCAGGGTTTGGACTCAGCTCATGTGACAACAGCAGAGCGGTGACCAATGAGAACCCGCAGGAGGGTCATAAACGAGATAAGCTCAAAACGGCTCGATTGATGCTTTCTGGTCTAGTGTCAACATGAAACTTGTTTGCTGCCACATCAGAGGTTTACCACAAGGAAGAACTTGTCTATTGGTGCTTCAAGAATCCCTCAGTGCTTGTGGAATACAAAAACCAGAGGATTAATTTTGGATTTGTTGACATTCGTGGCACAATGAAACCGCACCAAGAAGCTCAGAAGAATGTAACCAGCGTTGGGAAAAGGGCGACCTAAAAAAAACGACACACTTTGGGATTTGATAAGCAGTCTCGTCATGTTGCACGTGGATTTCAAGACACTGATTCAGCCTATTGGCATCGTGCGGATGCTGGAGGTGGTTCTGACTTGCATCTGCTTTTCATTGGCGGCGTCATCAGGAGTCCCGGACCACAGCGTGTCCCATTGGGCCTGGTGCATGTTCTGCTGGTGCTTCTGCTGTTTCACAACCCTCCTCATCCTCATCCTGGAGTTCACCAGCTTGAACACCAAAGTGCCCATATCCTGGGAGGACTTCACCATGGCCTTTGCTATGCTGGCCACCCTTATGACGGTCACCATTTCAATCATCTTTCCCACGTTCTTCGCCTCCTCCTCCTCCTCCTCCAGGCAGATCGGGGCATCCGTGGTGTCCTGGTTGTGTTTCGGACTGTACGCTGGCGAGGTCTGGTTGATCCACCAAAAACCTGGTGAAATCAGTGGCTTTCTGTCCACTGTCCCTGGTCTCCTGAAAATCCTGGAGACCTTCGTCTCCTGCATCATATTCACGTCTTTGAGTCCGGCCGAATATACGAGGTCTCCGGGAACGCAGTGGTGCGTGGCCGTCTACTCCATATGCTTCATTTTTTCATTGCTGATCATTCTCCTCACCATTGCCAGGCTGTTGCACGTCTTTCCGTTTTCGTTCGACAAGGCGGTCATCACCTTCAACATCCTGGCCGTGGCGATGTACGCAACTGCTGTTGTCATCTGGCCCCTGTATGCATTTCACAAACGCCCACGTCCAGATGACTGCAACCACTGTTCGTGGGACGATCTGGTGGTGGTGACCTTCATGACCGTCATCAACTTCTTGGTATACACCGGAGACTTGGCCTACTCGGTTAAAATAGTATTCTTTACCCATCATGGAGAGGGTGGGTAACCCTTCTTTGATTTCACGTGAGAAAAAAACACGATGAAACTAAATTGGGATGGTTTTTGCCAAAACTGCAGGAAAAATGTCCCAATTATTTGGATTATGTTTACCTTATATAATAAGGAGTGGTCAACTTAAAGGGATACTCCACTTTGTTTGAGATAGGCTCATTTTACCTCTCCCCCAGAGTTGAACAGTTGAGTTTTACCGTTTTCAAATCCATTCAGCCGATTTCCTGATATTTATAAGAATATCAGTAACCAGACAGTTTCTGGTCTCATTGACTTCTATAGTACTGTAGGAAAAAAATATATACTATGGAAGTCAATGAGACCAGAAACTGTCTGGTTACTGATATTCTTCTAAATATCAGAAAATCGGCTGAATACATTCAAAAATGGTAAAACTCGACTGTTTAACTCTGAAGGAGTGGTAAAATGAGCATATTTCCAAAAAAAGTGGAGTATCCCTTTAATTTCGACAGCAAAGAATGCCTGTTGTCCATTTTAAACAGCGACGTTTTAAGGACATTTTATTCATTGGCCACTTTCAACCTGAGCATTGTTATATTGGCCAAGACTTCAATTTGTGTGTTCAAAGTTGAAAAACCTTGAATCATATGTGATATGTTTAGCTTCTTGCGACATATCAGATTGCGCACTGAATTTCGCCATACAAGAGTTAGCCTATGTGGCCACACCTTAATTAGTAAGTCATGGTTAATATTTATTCATGGTAGGCTATGTTTCAAGGGTTAATCATTATATAGCCTAACCTCCAATTTATATCACTCCAGGGCAGGCTTTATAACTTTGTAAAGTGGTTTTTATTTTTGTTAACATGTTTTTTTTTTAATCTATTATTGTAGACCCGAAAGGTTGTAATGCATGATGTGGGATGCTTAGAAGTGTATGAGATTTAGTCACAGCAGTGTTATACAAATATGAAGAAATAGTTATGGTTTACCCTGCTGATTTAATCTGAAAGATAAATAATTAAAATATTTTTTTTTTATAGTTTTACAGTGAGTATGTGTGTTTTATGTAGAAATGACATTTTAAGTAAATGTAAGGCTTTTTATACACCTCAATTCACATTGACAAGGTGTTTTTTTGTGGATCTGAAACTGAATATAACTAAATATTAGGAAACATTATTTTCCCCCCAAAATAATTGAATAAAAGCAGGACAGGATACAAAGAGAACCAGAATAAAATATTTTTTTATTACAAAAATAGTTGCTTCACCCCTTTTTTCCCCTAAATAAATGTGTTTTTATACAGGAGTACACAGATATAAAGTATAACCACTATGAACCTTGTTTTTCTTATTGTCAGAAAGGAAGTAGGCCTACAATAAAAAAAAATATAAATATGGGGATAACAGCCAGAGGAAACAAACTGTTCTTCTTTCATCTGTATATATCTAAATTGATATTAATTTTTTTTAATTCATCCAAAACATTTTTGGACCATTCACCATTTGAAAACCTTAACAATGAAATAAAACACACAAAATTAAACTTTTTGTAAACCAGATGACTGAATATTCTATGCACTATACTTGCTATATGGTTTAAATGTTTTGAAATGCAAAACAGAAAAAAAACTATAGTTCAAACATTCTAATTTCCAGTGTTATGCATGTATGTATGTATATATGTGTGTGTATACACATATATATATAAAAAAATAGACTCTGATGCAGTGCAAACAAAATACACAGACATTAATGTCTGTGAGTAACAATGGTTAGTTTAGGCTTAGGCAAGTCAGAGGTAAAAAATATATTTCTGGTCCTAATACATCTACACACCGTAAAACGCAAGTTAAGTTACATCGGATCTGATGATCTAAAATGTCTCTCGATGAGGTTTGCTCACTAGCTGCTCTTGAGGCTCACAATGGCATTGATGAAGAACTCGTACCAGAAGAAGGTGAACCCCGTGGACACAGCGGCCTTCAGGAGACTCGGGGAGAGTCCCTTAAAATAACCCCGGAGCCCTTCCTCTCTGCCGATCCTCACCACACAGTCCACAAACCCATTATATGTGCGCACCTACACACAAAATACAAGAAAACAATTAGTCATTTTGGGGTTTTGAAAATCAAAAGTTTTTTTTGGGTCAGTAACATTTTTAATGTTTTTGAAATAAGTTTCTTCAGCTCACCAATGCTGTATTTATTTGATCAAAAATAGAGTAAAAACCATGATATTGTGAAATATTATTATTTAAAATAACAATTTTCTATTTGAATCTGTTAAAACTAATTTATTCCTGTTATCAAAGCTGAATTTTCAGCATCATTACTCCAGTCTTCAGTGTCACATGATCCATCTAATATGATGATTTGATGATCAAGAAACATTTCTGATTATCATCAATGTTGAAAACAGGTGTGCTGCTTCAGATTTTTATGGAAACCATGAAATATGTCCAAAAGAAGTTCAAAAGAACAGGATTTATTTGCACTGACATTATAAATGTCTTTACTGTCACGTTTGATGCATCCATGATGAATAGAAATAATAATTTCTTTAAAGAAAAATGTCCATCTAAAGGACCCCATCTAAAGTCTTATATAATATTATTGAACAGTATTTAGCTCAGAAAGGTCTAAAATCTACATAAAACTACAGCAGGTCTAGATAGGATGATGCTAGCGAGCAGAACTAGTTAAGTGATAGGGACAGTGATGAACCCCTGGTTGGGTTTGACTTTGAACATACCAAAGTTGGTACTACCAACCTGTCCAAACTTCATCCTGGCCTGTTCAAATCCACCCACTTGAAGTCTCTTTTTAATCAGGTCGAAAGGATACGTGAGAGTTTTACTGACGACTCCGGCGCAACTGCCACTGACCAGACTGTGCAAACCTCCTTAAAACAGACAAAACACCACAGCAACATTTACAGCGGGACAGAAAAGCACAAGGTTTAAATCTGCTGTTGTTGTTATAGCTAACAAAATCTAATAAAAATAACTTCTGGTACTTGAAACATAGTAGGCATTTTTAAATAAATCAATTCAATGATCAAAATTAAAACTTCACTTTCAGACGCTCTCCCTTACTTGAATAAGACCTGCCCACTCTTTAACATAATTTGCATACAATTCGACTGCATTTTATTCTTCAATTCGACAAGGATGAGTTACCCACATTGTCGTTGTGGTAATGAAAATGATATCATATGTTTTGCGTACAGTTTTTTAATGAAATGGTTAATCTGGTTTTAGTTTTCAATTTAATTGATTTATTTAAAATTTGCGGAAAAAGCTTTCCATAGAAATAGGTGAAATATATATATATATATATTAGGGCTGTGCAAAAATTAATTGCGATTAATCGCATCCAAAATAAAAGTCTGTGTTGACATAATATATTTGTGTTTGCTGTATATAATTATTTTGTATAAATAAATACCTATGCATGCATGTATATATTTAAGAATTATTTGCGCTTAAATTCTGTATATATATAAAAATACATAATCTATATTATATAAATATTTTATATATGAATAACACATCTTCTTAAATATATACATGCATGTGTGTGTATTTATATTTACAAAATAATTATATACAGCACACACAAATATATTATGTAAACACAGACTTTTATTTTGGATGCGATTAATCGCAATTAATTTTTGCACAGCCCTAATATATATATATATATATATATATATAAGAAAAAAAAACTTAATTTAAAGATAAATAAAAAAATAAAAAATAAAAATAAAAGCTAATTCTAAATATTAACAAATACAATAATAGTATATAAATGATACTAAAAGGTTAAAGAAGCATAATCTGACCTTTAGATTTGGAGTCCTGCTGTGCCAGAAGTTTCTTCAGGATATTATAAAAGAAAAACTGCAGGCCTGCGTATGGAAACACGGCCACGAGCGTGGGTGTGAGGCCCCTGTAGAAGGCGAAGGGCCCCTCGGAGCGGAACATTGTGCCGACGGCATGCCTGAGGTTACGGTACATCTGTACATATGAGAAAACCTTTGAATCATGGGAAGTGTCTCATTAAAGTCCAACACAAAGTGAAATATAGGCACTTCGCACTGAATAGTAATTTATGATTATTACACATTTTATTTATAGGCACCTTACATGACACTCAAGTGCATCTTACAAACACAATAAAACAATCAACATTAAACAACAAATAATCATTATTACAGCCTGGACAGACTGAATTAAACTGCCTAAAAAGATGTGTGTTAATGCAAGTTTTAAAAACATGAAGACTTTCACAGTTTTTGCTCATTCTGTGGCAACAGGGGTTCGAGGAGAACAAGTTCTGTTGATATGTGATAAGTATGATGAGGCAAGATTATTGTGCGCCTTGTGATTAAAAATAAGGATTTTAAAATAAGTCCGATATTTAATCTGGAGCCAGAGCAAGTGTTGTAATATGGGAGTAATGTGATCAGCTAGCTGGGAGCCTTAATAAAGAGCATTACAGTAATCAATACGGGAAGTGACTAAAGCCGGACAAGGTTGATTATTATCACGCATGTGGAAATATGCAGAGCGCATGACACTGTGTATATGTGCTTCGATTGATATAATACTGTCAAAGATGACAGGCAAACTTTTAAACTGTTTAGAAACAGACACTGGAAAATTAATAATATTCACTGAGGAATGTTTTGATTTGGCCAGATTGGTTTTTGAACCATCAAGAATAATTTTTGTTTTACTGCTGTTAAATTTAAGAAGATTTGATGTAAACCACTCTTTAATATCCACTGAACAATCTGAGAGCAAAGATGGAGGAAAGGTAGATCTAGGTTTGGAGGACAGGTCTTATCGGCGTAGCAGTGGAACTGAAAACTAAATTTCCTAAAAATATTACCAAAAGGTAAAGGATAAATAATAAATAAAAGAGGACCCAAAACGGAGCCCTGCAGAACACCTGTATTGACGTATGAAAGCTTTGATCTAAACTACTTCAGCTGTACAAACCGAGTACGACCCGTAAAATAAGATCAAAACCCAGTCAGAGGGGAATCTACGATTCAAATAGACTCCAATCTGTTTATTTATTAATTCTCTTCATGAGGTTTTGGAATAATTTGACCTTTTGAAATTAACTACATTTCAGATATTCAGATATTTATCATGTATTTCTTTAAATTTTTCACCCTTTCAGGTGGATTGTGACATGATTTAGAGGCATTAAGTAACACATAAGATCCCGCCCCTGAGGTCTGACCCCTGACCTTGGGTTCGCCCTGGGCAGCGAAGCGTGTCCGCAGGGTATCCAGCGGCTGGCAGGAGAAGGTGGCGGAGCAGGCGGCCAAACCGCCACAGAGGAAATGGACTCCTGGGGTCTGGCTGTTATAGGGGGTTTTCCTATGGACCAGCTCTGTCAAGGCCTCGAAACTCGCAAACTAGGACAAAACAGACAAACAGAAACTGTGAGTTTCAAGAAGTCTACAATTTTGTGAGGGGTTACCACAAATGCTTGATCTATCAACCTAAAATACCAAATAGGATAGTAGTTTTTGCTACAATTTAAAGGGATAGTTCCCCCAAATCATCATTTACACATCCTCATGTTGTTCCAAACCTGAATGGATTTCTTTCTTCTCTTGAACAAAAAAGAAGATATCTTGAAGATTGCCTGTAATCAAACCATTGATTTCCATTATATATTTTTTTCAATTCTATAGAATTCAATGGTGCCCCAAAAACGGTTTAATTTCCGGCAATCTTCAAATTCAAGATTTGTGTTCAGCAGAAGAAAGAAATCCATACAGGTTTGGAACAACATGAGGATGTGTAATTGATTAAATTGTAGAAAAAAAAAACATTTATTAATTTATTGCTGCAACATCAGAATCGGCATTGCCAATGTTAACTAAAAGTAAAATTATTTAAAAAAAAGTTTTTGTAATTGAAAGAAAATATAAATATTAGATGGAAAAATTAGAAATGCTGCCTTGGCACTAACTGAAACATATATCTATATTGAAGTAGCCTATTAAATTACTAAAACAAATATAAATTAATTAATGCTACTATATATATATATATATATATATATATATATATATACATACAGTAGCATTTGTGTTAGTAATTTATATATATATATATATATTTACACAAATAAAAATGACAAAATCAGATATCAAATTTACTAAATGCAGTAAAATGAAAATCTAAAAACAAAAGCTTAAAATATTAAAACTGTAAATAAATAATACTAAAATAACTAAATGCATCTTTATTTACAGCAACAAACTTCTACTGGAATACAATAGAAACGTTTTGCTACAAAGTCCTGACAGAATAGAGCAAAACAGGATCTTCATTTCTACCCTTGCAATAAAAATGTGTAAATAAAAAAACTTTTATTTGGCTATTAACCATTAAACAGGGAGATGATTTAGGCCACATTAGAAGTGTAAATATCTGATTGTATTTTATTCATCTCCAAGTACCTGAACTGCCCCGTAACACACAGACAGCAGCTGGGCAGGAACGTGTCCTTTCCAGAACGCAGGAAGACCTTCTTCGGTCAGAATGCAGCGCGTGGCCTGCCATAAACCCCAGTACTTCCCCTGACGATTCCTCCAGGACACCTGCTCGATCTGCAACTGTGGGAGCGATGCACAAAAGCTCAAAATTATCCTCTTATAGCAAAATCAGAAAGAACTTGTTTGAATGTGAAGATTTGAAGTGCCTAAAAAAGCGAGACACTGCCACCTTGAGGCCTGTCCATCAGTTGTTAACTACAAAACAAATGAATGCAAGCTTGTTTATCTGCTTTAAACTGGTTTTACATGCACACCAGACCAGAAAATGGAGTCAATGTGCCACTTTGAACTTCTTTTCAACTGAGTGCCTCCGTGTGGATTTGGGAGTGGCACTGAAATTCCACAGGAAAAAGTGACTCATGTTCTAGGCATGATGCTTTTATACACATCAGATGTGCTAGGGAAAGACAGCTTTAGTTGAATGTGTTCATATTACTGTGTACAAAATAACAATTGTGAAACTCAACAGCCCGTTGGCTCAGTGAAATGAAGGAAGGCCTCACCTGAAACCTGATTTTGATGACATCCAGAGGGCTGATGAGGGCACGGGTTACCATGCCGGCCGCTGACCCGGCCAGGGCAGCTTCCTCCGGGGTAAGAGCCGAACCGGGGGCGCTAGGATCATATCCCACCATTCCTGCTCAGATCATGTGTTAAAAGCACAACTGGTGCATAGGAGAGAAAAGCATGTGACGTTAATGTGCATGGATGACAACTTGTAAATGAAATAAAACAAATTATGAAAAATATCATCATTATGACTGGTGGAATACAATTAAATACTACAAACAATAATAGAATGAAACAAAAACAATATAGCCTACATTTTTTGCATTTAAAGAATTACCCATTTAACATGACAGGACAGACACAATGGCTGCGTTTCAAAACATATTGAGCTGCCTATCTAGGCAGTGTTTAGATGGGCACCGTTAGATGCTGTCGCCTGGTAACGATACGTGCCTAAAAAATGTCTTGATAAACAGCTCGTTATGGTTTGAGACACAGCCAGTGTTGCCCTACTGTCTATGGTGTTGCCCTACCACTAAATATTCTGAGCGCATGCTTACAAATATAAACTGGTGAAACCGTAAACCGACCTTTCTTGTGAGCACTTGGTGTGCATCAAGTTCCTCGGTACAATCTGCTCTTCTGATGTTCTGTTGTTAGAGGACACCTCATGTTCCCTTCATAGTTACTGCTGAACAGCACACAGACCAATGACAGAGCCGCGCGCGACTGTATTTACTGACCGTGTTTGGTTTCGCACCGAGCACATTGGTTCCTACCTTCACACATTTAATTTTAGTGTTAATTAAGAAAATTGCTTCAATTTGAATTTTTTCATAACTAATTTGACAAAGATTTTATTGATATTAATATTCAATAATATACTTAACACATCCAACCTCCAATAAATAAAATAAAATACAATAAAAAATAAAAAATAAAATATTATTTATCTTTTCAGTCAAGAAACATTTTTTATATGTATGGATTAGTCGTGTGAAGTAATTATGAACAAACTTATTACAATAATAATTTTTCAAAGATTTACTTTACTTCATGTTCAGTAGTTCATCACAACTCATAGAGGTGAGATGAAAACATTATTTACCCCAAAATCAAACTTTATTCACATGTTTGAGTACGTAACTAAAATACACATTAATAGAATACTTAACATTTGTTGAATATCATTTAAAAAAAAAAAAAATACACTATCTTGAGATCCCGCCCATATCCTAGTGTGGCCTACGCTGATTGGTCACTGACGCGCTGAAAGCACCGCCCCCCGGAACTGAGACTAGTGTGATTTTGAAACTAGTACTAGTGAGTGAATGGCGGTGTTTAAACAGGTGGTATAATGTTTATGTTCTCATGACAGGGGGTGAAAAAACATGGATCAGATTGTCAGGGCTCTGTTACTGCTCCTGTTATTACAGTTACCGGCGTCATTTCATTGCACAAATACCTTAAGTAGAGATGATGGAGGATGGTGAGAGATAACTTACATGATGGACAAACATTTCCTATCAATCTCGGGCCGTGTCTCAAAACTTTAGTATGATTTGTCTTTCAGGGGAATGGATTCCAGTATGGAGGATGAAGGCGAGTGCAACATTGAGATCAGAGATGGGAAGTCAATAACATACACAGAGTTTATTAAAGAGTAAGAATAACACACATGAACATTTGCAGTTAGTTATTAGCATATACATTTATACAAGTCACGTGGTGTAAGAACCTGATTTTCGTTGCTTTTTGTATTGTATTCTTTTAATGATAATTGTAACATATGTTATCATATATAATATAACTTTGATATTACAAATTGTAATGTTGGCTTAGATAGATATTATAGCATTAAAATATATAATAAATCAAGATAAAATTGTTGTTTTTGTTGTTTGACAGGTATGCTTATGCAAAGCCAGTTATACTCAGAGGTCTAACAGATAACACCGTAAGAATTGTAGATATACTGTGCATACAGTGTTTATTGCTCTTATTGATTAATTTCTAACAGTGTTGTGTTGTGATTGGATGTTTCAGAAGTTCCGCTTCCTGTGCTCCAAATCCAATCTGGTGAGAGAGTACGGAGAGAAAACGGTCCGTCTCAGCACAGCCAATACACACTCATACAGGAAAGGTAGACGTATACACATTTTCACATACTTCGTTTTTTTCATGTGCAAACGGTAAGGTTTCGGACGGTGACTTTTGACAACTACTGAGATTTCTCATGACCCACACTTAGCACAAGAATTTCCAGAATAATGGAAACATCCATCCATCCAGTGCAGTGTGTTCATTCTAAATGGTACATACAGCACGAACATTCAAAAGTTTGAAGATTTTTAAAGCATTTTATAAATCTGTTATGGTGATGACCAAGGCTGCATTTTTTTTTTTTTCAATCAAAATCACAGGAAAACCATAGTTTTGGAAATATTATTACTTTTTAAAATGACTGTTTTGAATGCATGTTAAAATAATTTATAATTTATTCCTGTGATCGAAGCTTAATTTTGTCTTCAGTGTCGCATGATCCTTCAGAAATCCTTCTAATATGATGATTTGATGATCAAGAAACATTTCTTGTAATTATCATTGTTGAAAACATTGTTGTGCCGCTTAATGTATTTGAACATTAATTTGAAAAATAAATATTTTTTTTAACGTCTTTACTGTCGCTTTCGATCCCTTTCATGTATCCGTGTAGAATAAAAGTATTTTCTTTTTTTTATTGTGTTGTCTAACTTGTGTTTTCAAGCCTATTTCTTTGTCTCTTTACAGTGGATGTGCGGTTTGAAGAATTTGTAAAGGTCCTTTTGACCCCTCAGTCTGAAGACGCCCTGGGCAGCGGTCGGCTCTCTCTCATTCTCTACATCCATGCTCTAAATGTTTTTCACACTGTACATGATCATTTCATACTGTGTGTGCATGTTTATTTCAGATACACTGTACTTCTTTGGGGATAATAACTTCACGGAGTGGCATTCTCTGTTCGAAGAGTATGAAGCGCCACCCTTTTCTCTTCCACTCATGCATCCCGCATATAGCTTCGGGATTGCTGGTATAGAGCCTCTTCAATCCAGCCAATTTGTGGTTTTGGACCGTACAAACATTCATTTTCACCCCAAAACTACTTCTCTCTCCTGCAGGACCAGGTACGGGTGTCCCGTTTCATTGGCACGGCCCCGGCTACTCTGAAGTCATTTATGGCAGGAAGGTCTGTACACTTTTTAGTGCAGATATCATTTTCATTAGACCTATATTGATATGCTTCTGTATACAAACAATAGTCTGTCCTTGTGTTCTCCAGCGTTGGTTCCTGTACCCCCCTGAGGAGGCACCTGAGTTCCACCCCAACCACACCCATCTGTCCTGGGTCTCTCGGTCCTACCCAAACCTTGAGCTCCACCAGAAGCCCCTGGAGTGCACCATACGACCCGGAGAGGTGAGGTTAACAAACTTTGCAGTCAATTTAACTTTTTGAGCCATGTGCATTTTGAACCCATTTAAAGGTGCTGTATGTTTGTATCTTTACTGTACTAATTAAAGCATAAAAATACCATAATATGTTTGCAGAGATTTAGGAAACATGTTAAGTCTACATACTTGCTGTTTTTGCTCTGAAAAAAACACGACAGCAAGTTATTCTACTTTGAAATGTGCTTTCGGTGTCGATGTGTTTTGTTCCGTGTGACTCCGCCCACCGCCAATTTACCCAATAGTATTTAGACACACCAGGTTGCCAGTTTGCGGAAAACACAGCATATTTCAGATTTAGAAGTCAGCAAATGAACTGGGTCTGAGATCGCAGATTCAACCTGACCTAAAAAGCCACGGCATCCATCTAAAAAAGCTCTATGATCAGGTGGATAAATCAACTCATCAACTTACAGGTTAAGGCTCGTCACCTTCCATTGTCCATTGCACTGGCTCTTGTTACATGTCCTCAATCTGGCAACCCATGTGTTCGTGGAGTCTGAGGACGAGGAGTGGGGGAAACAACTCTCTCCAATATTTTGAATTTGGGCTGCAGTACCCATTTCAACCACTAGCTGTCAAATTACTTACTGCACCTTTAAGGCCTTTATATTTACTGACGTCATTTTAGACTAAATCAGCCCGAAACGGCTTGCCAAAGCTTTTCTGGAAAACTTAATTCTGGCCCAATGACAAAGCAAAGTTATCTTTGCCATTGCGAGGAAAGAGTGCATCACATATTTACATATTCCTCTAAACGCCGCTGTCAGCAGTGCGGATGGCGTCGGGATGTTCGTTTATGGTATATTGCTCCTCGGGTATTCTGGTATCTAACTTTTATACTTAAGAATGTAAAAGAACTTCGCTGCGTGTTATTGGGCCTTTACACACTTCACTACTAAGCACTAAGTAAGAGTTGAAGTAAAGTCAAAATCACCTATTGTAGAGATTAAACTGAGTGTTTTTGTGCAGGTGCTGTATTTTCCGGATCGCTGGTGGCATGCAACTCTAAATCTGGACACCAGTGTCTTCATTTCAACTTTTCTGGGTTAAAGACTGATGTGGCGTGGACACATTTACACAAACACACCATGTCTGTTTGACTTGAAGGCCCGATTAAGGACTGTTGTTGTTCAGAGGACCAGCAGTTTGACTGTCAAATCATCCGTCTGTTGATTTGATGAAAAAAATATTTATAAAAGCTAATTTCAATGTGATTTTTAAATAAAGTTGTGTTTTAAAGACTTATGATTTGGGGAAGTTGTATTGAAATAAATAGGATACTGATTGTGGTAGTAAGTTGGATGTCTTTAATACATCTATCACAGATGCATCTTCCACATTCAGACTCAAGAAATACAAATCAGTAAAGAAAAAATACACTGAAAAAAATAAGACCTTAAAAATGTGCCTTAAAATCACAACACATTGGAATCAGTTGATTAAATTAGATTGGAAGTATTGATATACATGTCTGTTATATTACTGCAATATTTTTCACATTTGAACAAGTTTGATTTGTGTTTGACTTTACAGCAACACACATCTATACACAATATGTGATGAAATGATTCTGGCTCTTTTTTTAATGTCCCCCAAGATGCATTCAGTGACAGTACATGAGCATGAAGACTCTCATATTATAATGCTTATTTAAATGCAGTAGTTTTTACATTCAGGGAATAATCAAGGAAATTAAATGAAAAAATAAAGATGTTTGTGCATTTTTTAGTCTTTTTGGCGATCCAAGTCCAAAGAGAGAGAGAAAAAAACTCTTCCGGCAGAAGACAGTCCTCCAGATGATGTCACTTCCTCCAGACTTGCTGTCCAGCAATGTAGGTTTCTCTGACTGTCAGTGTGTCGTCAAGAACTACAAAATCTACAAAACAACCAACATGACTACAGGCATGTCTTACAAAAAACACCATGAAATCAAAATTGTTGTTTTAAGGAATATTGCAGGGTTTATTATAAATGATTTATCCATGCACATGTGCCTCATAATCTTTAATTAAAATAACGTCCACTCCCTCTTGCAACTCATCATTTCTCTGATGATGTGTTTAATGGCGCGAGGAAGGGATCAACCTGTCACTCATGAGATCCACCAATAGCAAACCACAATTCCACATGGACAAAATCAAGTCCCGCCCCACATTTACTCTTGTTCGAGAAGCGGTTTCACTCGGATATACTTCACAATACGAAAGAAAACACTTTATCCAGTGGCCACCATAATGCATTTACCTAATAACCACTAAAGTGTGCAGCTACCCAGCTAGATCTGTATATATTCTAGAATACGTTTCTCTATCAAAGATGATCGCATTCGATGACATAAAGCACCGACAGGTTCGCTGTGATTGCCCTGAGACGAAAAGAAATTAAGGTTTTTGATGAAAACATTCCAGGATTTTTCTCCATATAATGGACTTCAATGGGGTCCAAACGGTTCAAGGTCCAAATGAGAGTTTCAGTGCAGCTTTAAAGGGCTTTAAATGACACCAGACGATGAATAAGGGTCTTATCTAGCGAAACGATCGGTCAATTCAAAAATAAATAAAAAAGTTGAAGTTTTATAAGCACAAATGCTCGCCTTGCTCTGTTCTGTGATGTGCGTTCGTGACGTCATGTACAGAGCAAGAACATAGCAAGGCGAGCATTTGTGCTTATAAAACGTAAACTTTATTTATTTTTTAAATGACCAATCGTTTCGCTAGATAAGACCCTTATTCATCGTCTGGTGTCGTTTAAAGCTCTTTGAAGCTGCACTAAAACTCTCATTTGGACCGTGAACCATTTGGACCCCATTGAAGTCCATTATATGGAGAAAAATCCAGTAACGTTTTAATCAAAAACCTTAATTTCTTTTAGACTGAAGAAAGAAAGACATGGATGTCTTGGATGACATGGGGGTGAGTAAATTATCAGCAAAACTTTTTTAAAAGTGAACTACTCCTTTAATGAATGACTGAAAATCAATCCTGAAAGTCACGCTCATACCTGCATCTGTGCCGTACTCCAGTGTTCCCTTCCTGTGACTGATGCCCAGCATCTGAGCAGGATGAAGAGATGCCGCCTCTAATGCCGCTTCAACAGTGCAACCTACAAACACACACACGTCAAAAAAACAAAACCTCTACGACACGCACACACTAAGATTAATGAACACGCCACACTCCGTACCCACAAACACACTGACCTGATACCTCTCTGAAGTGTCTCACACACATGTCCATGGTCGCAATGCTGCCACTTAAAGTTGTAGTGCCTGAAATCATGAATGAATGAATGAATAAAACACACTTTCTACTACTACTATCCCCAAAAAGACATTTGTCTTGAACTTGGTGCTGTACAAGTCAGCAACACACCACAATTATTATATGAATAATACCTTGTAAAGCATTTCACAATAAAAATAATATTAAATAATAAATAAATGATAAAACATCAGTAAATAATACCTTAAAGGGATACTCCACTTTTTTTGGAAATAGGCTCATTTTACCTCTCCCCCAGAGTTTAGAAGAATATCAGTAACCAGACAGTTTCTGCTCTCATTGACTTCCATAGTATGAAAAAATATATACTATGGAAGTCAATGAGACCAGAAACTGTCTGGTTACTGATATTCTTCTAAATATCAAAAAATCGCCTGAATAGATTCGAAAATGGTAAAACCCAACTGTTTAACTCTGAGGGAGTGGTAAAATGAGCCTATTTCCAAAAAAAAGTGGAGTATCCCTTTAAAAAGCAAAATAGAGACACATCAAATACTTAAAATAAAAACCCTACATCAAATGTATATTTTCCGAAGTACTTGGATGCATTAAACTGATCAAAAGTGATAGTAAAGACATTAATAATGTTACAAAGGTTTTTTATTATAAATAAAGGCTGTTCTTTTGGATTTTCTACTCATCAAAAAATCCTGAAATAAAAAAAATGTGACTGTTTACACAAAAATGCAGCAAACTATCATATTAGAGTGATTTCTGAAGGATCATGTGACACTGAAGACTGGAGCAATGATGCTAAAAATACAGCTTTGATCACAGGAATACTTTAGTTTAAAATACATTAAAATAGAAAACAGCTATTTTACATTGTATTAATTTTTCACAATATTACATTTTTTTTGATTCAGAGCATAAGAGACTCGTGAAAAAATCTTACAGACACTAAACTTAAGAACTGTACTGTATATCAATATATCGTGTAAATGTGTATAAATAATTCCTTATTAAAAATACCCAGATCGAGCGCTTTGAGCGTGTTTGGGAAATGTCCCGCCCCTTCCCATAACGGCCAGTTTAACACACCACTAACTAACTCAACCAGGCCCCACCCCTTTATTCTACGCATTAATTATTATAATGAGGAATATTGTGACGTGTTCGTTCCCGGTAGAAACTCAAGACTACAATGGAGGCGTTTCAAGAGTTCAGAAACACTGATACTGATATAGAGAATTAGGGGACGTTTACACGACAACGATGTACTAAAAGCACAAAATGTTTAATAAAGTTTTTAAAATGACACCCAGATCAACGGCTGTATTTTACAAAGAGTTTTTCACAAACTGTTCAGTTGGGAATGCCTTCACCTGCTGACTTGAATTTATCTCAAATAATTGGTGAACAGAAAATCCATTTTAACAGTCAACCTACAATACCCAAACGAAATACAATGTATCGCCAAACAGAAATAGAGGCGTTTTGGTTCATTTGCTGCTGAGAATGAAAGCATGAGGAGTATGATGCAGACCTGCGACGTATGCGTGAAGCCCCTGGATGTCGATCTGCTGCTGTCCGAGTGTGTGTCGGCCAGGAGGGAGACCCATCGCTGTCACAGCGTCAGTGACCAACACCAACCCTGACACACACAAACACAAGCTCTATTCTTACACACAGATTAACTTCATTTATAAAAGCCAACCTGAGAGGGATGCATTGCATCTCATTAAAATGTACAGAGGCAATGTATCATAGGTTGAGTGTTCTACACACAGATTTGTGGTTGCGTGTTGTGTGTGTATGAATACCTGCGGGATGAGCTCTGTGGGCGATGCGCAGCGCTGCGGGATGTGTGTGTATCCCGTCTGCGATCATACCGTAGTAAACAGTCCGACCGGGTGGAATACGATCACTTGTAAGCAATCCCACAATGCCCGGGTCCCGGTGATGAAACTATAACAAAACAAAATGTTAAATGTGTTGTTAAATGCATGTTTCCGTACTTCAAAAAAAAAAAAATACTTCTAGATTTTTAAATCGATTTGTTTGCATGGTAGGATAATGTATTAGAAATATGGTGTTATTTTAAATGTTTAACTGTGCACCAACATACAGTACGTTTTATAATGCGAATAACTGTTAATTAATGCGTGTGTGTGTGTGATACTAACAGGCAACATGGCATTGAATAAGTGTGTGATGAACGTGGCTCCATTCTGCACAGCCTCTTCGGCCTGAGAGAGATCGGCCATGGAGTGACCTGGACAGAGAAGCACTTTGGACATGCTCAACCTGGACGAAATTGAATAGCAAAAATAAAGTCTGTGTACACATATGTACGCACCTAATGACACGGCTATGCCCCTTCCTGACAGTTCACGGATTGCAGCCGCGCTATTGGCCAGTTCTGGTGCGAGTGTTACCATTGCGACATTGTCCAGGGGGCCGTAGGTCTCCAACAGGTCGGCCACGCCGCCGGCTTTAAACGTGCGGAGGAACTTCGGAGGGTGAGCGCCTCTCTTCTCTTCACTGATGAACGGCCCCTCCAGGTGAATACCTGAAACAATCAGGAGGAAAAACATTAAACAAAAAACATATTTGGCATCATTTAGTTAAAGGTGCAGTATGTAGTGCAATAGTGACTACTGGTTGAAATGGGTACTGCAGCCCACATTCAAAATATTGGAGAAGTTTGTTTCTCCTGCCCGCTTCTCCTCAGACTGGACGCTCACGGGTTGCCAGATTGTGGACATACAACAGGAGCGTGTGCAACAGTTACAAAAAAATGCTGGTGAGTATAAACCAAGCTTTATATTGCGAGATGATTGGCTAATGTATTCGTCTGCAATGTTTTTAATGGTCAGGGAGAATCTGCGATCCCTGACCCAGTACGTTTGCTGGCTTTCGTGGCTACAATACGCTGTGGCTGTGCTTTCCACCCATAGACTGTAAAAAACATGGACGATGCCCCTTTGCTCTTTTTCATCAGAGAGAACTGAAGCCGCCAGTGTCCCAATATGGCGCTGACATCTTGGAACTCGAGTCTGCAAACTTGCGTTTTCGGGACCAGACATGCGCAGTCGTGAGCAGGAAGTAAAGCCGCGAAATCAAGGCCCCGCCCTCATTCTCGCTGAATCAAACGCACTTTACTTAAAGGGTTAGTTCACCCAAAAATGAAAATTAAGTCATTAATTACTCACCCCCATGCTGTACCAACCCCGTAAGACCTTCGTTCGTCTTCGGAACACAAATGAAGATATTTTTGATTAAATTTGAGAGCTGTATAACTACCACATTGGCTCCTAAGGGACTGCCTCTTGACGGCCCAGAAAGTCAATGAAGAAAATGTTTAAATATCCCAAGTGACTACCGTGGCTCAACTATATGTTTATCAAGCGACGCGAATACTTTTTTTGCGAAAAAACAAACAAAAATAACGAGTTTATTCGACTATTTCTTTTCTTCCTTGTAGGCCAGAACGAGACTTCCTTATAGATTTCCACGACGCATGCGCGAGATTTGCGATCTGCTCACACCAGCTTCACTACTTCAGATCGCAATTCTCGCGCATGCGTCGTGGAAATCTAAGGAAGTCTCGTTCTGGCCTACAAGGAAGAAAAGAAATAGTCGAATAAACTCGTTATTTTTGTTTGTTTTTTCGCAAAAAAAGTATTCGCGTCGCTTGATAAACATATAGTTGAGCCACGGTAGTCACTTGGGATATTTAAACATTTTCTTCATTGACTTTTTGGGCCGTCAAGAGGCAGTCCCTTAGGAGCCAATGTGGTAGTTATACAGCTCTCAAATTTAATCAAAAATATCTTCATTTGTGTTCCGAAGACGAACGAAGGTCTTACGGGGTTGGTACAGCATGGGGGTGAGTAATTAATGACTTAATTTTCATTTTTGGGTGAACTAACCCTTTAAGTGGCCTCTGTCAGCTCCGTTCTTCTCCAATGATGTCTGCTGATTGCAGATCCTCGTTAAAATAAGGTAAATACAACTACTAACCACATATGAAAAAAATCCGTTGGTGCTTCAGTGACTACTTCGCACAGAGAACCTGTCAATCACAGCTGTCAATCATGATGTCACAGCACCGTTTTAATAGCATCAAATAACTAACTAAAAGCAAACACTTGAAATGACATCAACGTGATAGAAACTACAGTAAATGACAGAAACTATCTTTGGGAAAAGGATATGTGAAGTGTAATTTAATTGTTTAGTTGGTCTCACGTCCTGTTGAATAACATGGGGAGGCGGGGTTTATGACATATACTAGGACCGGTCACAGGGGGGCGATCGAGACGTTTTGTCTTCACTTGTTTTGAGCGCACTTGTTTCCACCAACTGGCAACCCGGGTGTTGAAATACTATTGGGTCAATTGGCAGTGGGCGGAGTCACTCAGACCAAAACCAAAAATATATATTCTGACATGAAACACATATTTCAATAGCTGTTATATTGTTTTTCCAAGATACAAGTATTTGAATTTAGCGTGTTTCCTAAATTTCTGCAAACATAATTTTAGGATTTAGTACATTTAAAAGAATTACATACAGCAGCTTTATAGTTTTAGAAATTTGACTAGGTCTGTAATCTTACCTAAAACTCCTGCCCCTTCAGGGCCTCCATCTTGTTCTCTGAGCTCAGGAATGACCTGTGGAGAGAAAGACAGCAACATTACTAATGATAAATATATGTGATATATGCAACTATATACATGACACTGTTCCTTTTTAAGTGTGATGCAAAACAAGCCGAAGTGTGTGAGTATTGAACTGAAATTGAACAAGAAGCATGGAAGGTGCTTCGTGGAAAGTACTACAAACACTACCACTTAAAAGTTTGGGTTTGGGGTCATGTTAAAAGTTGCATTCAGAAAGGATGCATTGCATTCAATTGATTAAAAGTGACAGAAAAGACATTTATTATGTTACAAAAAGATTTATATTTCAAATATAAATGCGGTTCTTACTTTCTATTCATCAAAGTATCCTGAAAAAAAAAAAGACCATCATGGTTTCCATAAAAATATTAAGCAGCATCAACTCAACATATTAGAATGATTTCTGATCATATTAGAATGATCCTTCATGTGACAATGAAGACTGGCGTTATGATGCTGAAAATTCAGATTTAATCACAGGAATAAATTACATTTTACAATCTATTCAAATAGAAAACTTATTTTTAATTGTAATGTTTCATAATATTATAGCTTTTACTGTATATTTGATCAAATAAATGCAGCCTTGTTGAGCACAAGTGACTTCTTTCAACCAACCCCAAACTTTTAAACAATAGCGTATGCTACATTGTTTAATTATTCCAGGAGGTACCTGATGATGCGAGATATGAAGACATTAAAGTGCCAATAAAAACACAGTCCCAACACATTTCAATCCTAGGCTTAGCCTGAAGGAACTTCAGCGATGTATTTGTGGGTGCAATTGAGCATCTGAGAGACAAATGAAGGGCAGTGATTGGTGCATAGTTTGAACCTTATGGTATATGTCTGGTGGAGACGTGACGAGCGTGGGGCAAAAGGAAGTGACGCCCTGTTCAAGAATCTTTTTGGCCACCACAGCCACGCCCCCTCTGATGTCACTGCTGGCCTGGGAGAAGTCGATGCCATATCCACCTATGAGTGAGAAGAAGGGAGGAATCAACACAGTGATTTTTACACCAACTGGTGAATGTAACAATGGCAATGTGTAGTTTACCATTTATCTGTACATCTATGAATCCAGGCGCAATGATCTTATTCTCGCAGTCAACTTTGTGATCGGCGAACCCCTCCTCATCGAAGAACAGCTTCTCTGGGTTCAAAATCTTGCCCGCACGAACCCACAGGTCTTCCCTACGGTACACAATCAGATTTCCCCCTCAAAATCGCTGTCGAAAATGTGCAAAAAGTTTCCATCTGGGCTCAACTAAAAGTCTATGCTCAAGATGGTACAATCAGGGTTAGAAACAAATGATTACATAGTATCCAAAATCAATCAGTATTTATGGAGACTGTAAAGCCCCCTGCAAGGTTCAAATATGTGAGAATGCACGTGAATCATCTACTTGCAACACATTTTAATATAATTTTATACAATTGTCAGGAAATTTTGGGTTTGTACACAATAATTAGGATCTGTTTGATATGTTACCATTGCAGCTTGTGGTCCTTCAGTATCCTACAGTTCACAAACTGTGTGATCGGGGCATCTGAGACACTCTTATTGGACGGCATCTCTCCTGAAATCCCACCTTAAAAACACCCTATGAAAAGAGACATATGTGTCAGGTCTTCAAAGTGGATCATATTGGTTATTATTAAATGTCAGGTGAATCATATATATATATATATATATATATATATATATATATATATATATATATATATATATAATTAAGAAGCTATTCAATTATGTACCGGGATGTTTATGACAACTGTGATGTGGACTTTCTTGAGGTGCTTTTCTCATATACTAAAAGTGCTATAGAAATAAACTGAGTTGACCTTCATAAAACACAATGAACTAACGACCGTTGCCCTTTTGAACGCATTTTATCTGTTTTTATGACACAATATTTAACTTTGAACGGTCAATCTAATTTTCCTACCATGTTTATATGGACTATCGGATGTGTCAAAAATTGTATTGTGATTATTATTTCTGATTATACATAATGGCACCGATTTTAAAACATCAGACAAGCGGAGCTTTTCATCACACTATGTATGTTAAAGTGATGCAGCAAACAGTAAACAAACACACCGGAAGAAATGATCGAGGTCTTCATTTACTCATCTTAAGGATACCGGAAGATGACACGCATATTATCATAAGTTGTAGTTTCATAAACACTTACCGTTAATTCACATACTTTTACTATGATTCGGTCCGCGCTTTAGTTTTCTCTAGGAAGTCAGTGAGCTCAGAGTGTGTCACGCGCGCTGTGTCAGCTGATGAGGAGGCGTGGCCACAGTGCACGCGCCTAGAACGTGTTTAAAACCGCAAATATAGGCTAATTGATGAATAAAGTTGACATATCTGTTTCATATATATGTAACATAACGTTTCATAATTGACTTAAATTAAATAGCTAAATACATGCAGTAAAACTTGGCATGTTTTTTTTTCCAAAAAAAGTCTATTCTTTTCAAAACAGTGTCAATAAACAGCAGGTTTTCTTTCTGACAATTTACCCCATATGTAAATGTGTGTTCAATGAACAGTAGTCTATTTGTGGACAATAAAGGTGAACATTTTAAATAGATGTGTATGCAAGATATACTTTTGTACTGGATTTGTCTGTAGCAACAGAAATGTAAACAATAGGCCTAGATCAATTTAACATAAGACAAATCAAATAAAGGCCATATGGAGAATGAGCCAAACTTATCCAAAATGACAGCAGAGATCTTTTCATTCACATCACCTCGTTTGTAAGCCACTGACACTAATAATGTGGATCTCACCCACTTTGTGTGCAGTGAGGCTACACATTATTTATTTATTTGTGCTTATTAATATCAAAGGACAGATTCGAGTTGCCGGCTTAACCGTCGGACAGAAACCGCTCGCACCTGCGTCATACTGTTGGGAACAGCACTGTAGGGCGAAACACACGCTTTCATTTCCCTCGAACCTCTAACCTATGTCAGATAGTGTGGTTCTCACATTCACAACATCACACTTAAGAAAAACAGAGCAAACAAACTCTCTTCATTACTAAAACAACATGTCGGAGAATGGAAGATTATGTTGTTGACTTGAAGTTTGTTAAAAGAGCTTTGAACAGTCAATTATTATGAAATCCATTTTCCATTTTAGAGTGATGTATGATAGTAATATAGTGACACAGATGCTTGAAACACCTCAACAAACAAATTTATGAGCAGTATTCGTGAATAATTTGAGCTTTGTTTGTAAATTACAACCAAAGGGTTCAAATTAACCATTGAGAGGGGGGAAAAGGAGAACACAAATGTTAAATATTAAAATGTAGCAGAATTATAAAACATACATTTCCTTAAAAAAATGATCAATTCATTAATTAAACATACTAATTAATTCATTTAATTATTGAATGTTAAATGGCATATTTTTATGTATAGAATGATTATTAATTATAGGCTATTTAATAAATAGTAAACCGTTCAGTTAAAACTCATATAGCTGAAACTGTACAATAGCCTACTGTATTTTAATAAAACCAATAAACAGGAAAATATCGTAATATTAAATAGACAGTATGTTTTAGAAGACATGTAATTATGACAACGATGATTTTGAATTTTATTTATTGGAAACAGGCACAAATCCTAAATAATTTTTCAGATCTAATTAATTTTGAGAGATGATCATGTTAAAATCCTTAGAAGTCAGTATTATGATCTCTCTCTCAGCATTGGTTATGGGCTTTTCCATATAATAAGTATTCATATACAGTAATTATGCATGCCCTTGTCAAGTGTCACCTCAGCTTGGCATGCTTGACCTGATGATTAGATTTATTAAAAAGCGTGGGTGAGGTGTGTGTGTGTGTGTGTGTGTGTGTGTGTGTGTGTGTGCGTGGATGTTTTAAGGGGGTGTCACTGACGTAGATCCTTCAGGCATAAACTCAGTGTTCGTTATAGGTCAGAGGTTGAGCAGTGAGCTAATTGATTAATTTAAAGTGATAAAATGCGTCATTCATTCAATGTGTGACAAAGTGTCAACTTCAAGGCCGTGGATCACAATAGCTGTCACGTAGATGGTCTGCATTCAAACCTTTTAGTATCTCATGGTCAAGATTATAGGGAATCTGAGGTGTGTGTGTGTGTGTGTGTGTGTGTCAGGTCTGTTTAACATCAATAGCAAACTATAAATGTGCTTCAATGAGCCTGGAAATCTGTGTAATTAATTAACCTGAATTTACGTCATTCTCACCTCATTGTAGAGCATCAACCTACAGCTTATGAATAGTTGCAGGTCTTTATCTTCAAATAAAAAAATAAATAAAAAACATTTGATAAACACTAGTTATTTATTTAAAAGTGCAATATTTACAACATTCTTAGCATTTACCTAAGCATTTAGGTGCAATACCTAAGATTTTTGCATTAAAATATCCCAAAATCACAAGGCCAGTGTTATACATTTAGTAAAGATGATAACTCACAATATTCCATATGTTTCAAACAATATTTAAATCGCGAGAAAATTGAGATTTTAACCAAGGAAACGGTACGTGTGAGCAGGGGTGAGCTGGGAGTCGCGAGTCAATCACGTCATATCCGCTTACCTCGGTTTCCGCTCACCTCGGTTTCCGCTCGTACTACGTGTAGTCCTGGACAAATGCGGTAGTTGTGCGTTAGCGTCTATCAAACGACAGCTTGTTTCGCGTCTAACAAACGTCAGCTTGTTTCGCGCATTTGTTATGGAATGGAGCACAATTGTTCTTTTCATTTATTCTCGGAATGTGAACTGTTGGCTGTAAAGGGGGTCGCACACCGGACGAGAAGCGCCGCGTCACGTTTAGGACAACTCCACAGCATCGCATACCGGACGCGCACTTTCTCATCAGTGTATGGCCAGGAATATTGTTATGTTTAATGACAGAAAATGAAGATAATGTCTGTTCTATGTCTGTTCTATGCTATGATTGTACTGTACAATTAAATACAATCGTTGCTGAGTCTGCATTCTGAAAACTTTACCTCAGATCATCCGTTCACGAATCTCACCTGAAAAATCTAATAATAACATCAGCAATTGTCATTCAAGCAGCTAATTTCTGTAAATCACTGCAAAACTAAATGCATGCAGCATAGGGCAAAGTCAGGATCCATTAGCAACGGTTTGAGACAAAAGTAATTAAAATTTTATATAAAACTGTGTAAATGGCGCTCTGTGGCGCCGCAGGATTTTGAACACGGTCCTGATTGAGGCGTTGCTGGGCGCCGCGGACAGACGCCGATAATAATGTGTTCGAATAATTATGTGGTGCGACGCGGCGCTGCAGCTTCTCGTCCGGTGTGCGACCCCCTTAACGTTAATTTTGTGAAACTGTAGCTGTGGTTGAATACTTGCACGACATGAAAAGATGTAGTGTCAAATGTACATTAAATTGATTTTTTATTTTTATAAAGTTACCAAGGAGGACCAGCCACGTCAAATCCTTGCAAGAGACCTGCCCCTTCAAACCCTCTCCACCATAGCTTCGTCCAGTGACTCGTACAGTAACATCTGTGAAAACTAATTTACTTTTAAACCTGACTTTTCTTGCGCGGTTATTTCAGTTTAATGAAAAACAAGCACGTCATTAAACGCAACGTTTATAGAAATCGAACTTTACCTCATCCATGACAACTAATTTTCGATTCCCGTCTGACTGATTTATCCACGGTGGAGTTGAAAACAACAGTTCCCATCATTCCGCGTTTCTCCACGTCGTCATCAAGCAAAGCCATTGTTGTTGTTTTGAATGTAGCGCCCTCTAGCGGCATCTAAATCTTAGGTATTGCAGCTTTAAGTCATTTGGTTGATTCAACGAACGAAATGAACGAATTGACGAAAAAAGATTCGTTCATTTTGATGAACGTGTTCGAACAGGAGAGTCACGAACGCGCATCACAGAACAGAGCAAGGCGAGCATTTGAGCTTATAAAACTTAACTTTTGTGTTTATTTTTTAAATGGCCGCTCGTTTCGCTAGATAAGACCCTTATTCATCGTCTGGTGTCGTTTAAAGCCCTTTGAAGCTCCACTGAAACTCTCATTTGGACCTTGAACCGTTTGGTTCCCAATGAAGTCCATTATATGGAGATAATCCTGAATGTTTTCTTCAAAAACCTTAATTTCTTTTCGACTGAACTGAAGAAAGAAAGACATGGACATCTTGGATGACATGGGGGTGAGTAAATTATCAGCAAACGTTTTTTTTTAAAGTGAACAACTGCTTTAACAGTAAACTATAAAACATGAATAATATAAGGGCCTGTATTAATAATAACAGCATGTAAATAATGACACACATTCAGTTTACTTCAATTCAGTTTGCTCATTTTGGCGTAGTTCATTTTAGCTCCCCCGTATGAGGGAGTTAGAGAGGGTGTGTGGAGAGGGTGTGTGTGTGTGTGGTTGGGGGTAGTTGTAACGGGTGACACGCATTGATGTAAACCCGCGGGGCGACATAAGCGCGGCAGCGCGCCGCTCATGACGCGTCTGGAGTCTCCAAAGAAAAGCTTCATTCAGCAGGAGACAGGCTTCAGTTATCAAAGACGAGCTGCCTTCATAGTCTCCCTTTAAAAGTCTCGAAACAGTTCATTAGTTACCTGCCAGTGAAGAGGCATTTAATACGGTTTTGAATGAGTTGTTCTTCACAAGCTTTATCTAGGCTAACCAAGAACCGCGACCCCAAACTATTTTAGTAGCCTACTTTTTTTTTTAGTTAAACTTCATTTGAGTAAATAGGACAAAACTTTTTCTTGACTGGAATGAAAATGAAGGCGTCTCCCGCGCTCGTGCTCTGCATGTCAGTCACCGTTTACTTCGCGCGATCTCAGCTTCAGTTGCGCGTGCGCCCGTCCCCTAGTGAACACCTGCCGGTACCGGACCTGCACGAGGACCCTGACCCGGCGCTGGAACCGGGAGAGAGGGATTTAACCCCTCGGCTGCTGCGGCGCAAACTCGGCAGCAGTTTTGACCCCGTCTTCTCTTCGACCGGTCCACCGACGCGAGGGAACGGGTCCGAAATCACGCGAGAGGACGAGATCAATCTTGCCGGACCGATACCCCGTGAATTTCAGCAGCTGGATTTCACTGGTCTTAAAGCAGCCGCGAAAACGGAGCGCAGGGTTCGCCGGTGGTTGTGGTCGTACACGCAGTGCCCGGTGCGGTCCATGTGGAAAGATCTGGGCGTGCGTTTCTGGCCGAGATACGTCAAAGAAGGACAGTGCTCGACCGAGCGCTCGTGCTCTTTACCGGAGGGGATGTTTTGTAAACCAGTGCAGTCCGTGAGCGTCACGCTCCTCCGGTGGCACTGCCAGCAGGGCTCTCGCGCGCTCAAGCGATGCGTGTGGATCCGCGCGCACTACCCGGTGATTTCACAGTGCGGCTGCGCGTGCTGAAGAAGCTGAAGACCACATTTTTACTATTGGAATGATCCTAAAATGGTTTAGCACAACATGATTTCTTGTCACCCACCCCCCATTTAACTTTGAGAAGGTGGACTTTGATGGAAAGACACATTTGTGATTGTGCATTCTTTGGCTATGCTGTTTAACTAAATTATATTTATTATCTGTGAGCATGTGAAGAAAATGTTTATTGATGAAAGAAAAAAAAGACAATAAAAGTGCCAATATTGTGTATTTGTATTGTTATTGCTATAGCTGTGACTGAAGACTGGAGCTGAAAATCCACCTTTGATCACAGGAATAAATGACATTTTACTATATAAATTACATTTTACAAATTATTTTAAATTGTAATAATATTTCACAGTTATTTGTGATTAAATAAATGCAGACATGAGACTTCTTATATATATATATATATATATATATATATATATATATATATATGCATTTAAATGGTAATCTAAGATAAGTGAAAGTTTATTTCTGAAAACAGTTATATGAGTGATAGATTTGTATTTACTACATGTTTATTCTCTCACTTCTCCTTTTTACATTTGATGTTCTTCTCTGTTTCTTTCTCCCTCCTCCTCTTCCGCCACATCTGTTTTCACCTCTTCTCTTTTACTGTCAGTTTTCACTCAGCCATCTTTGTGTTCACACTCATATTTGCTTTCTGATGTTTCAGGATGAATGCCGCAAACAAGACCACAACTGAAGGTTAGTAAAAGTAAAGTTAATAAAGTTTTGATATTTTTCTGGCAAACCTTATATTGTTTGATAAGAGAAAAAAGTGGCATATTTTACATTAGTTCTATGCATTTAAATATACAGCATATGTGAATCAAAGCAATGTAAAATGCTCATTTAAAAGAAAAATGTCAGAAAAATGTCAGACGGACTTGCTGTTTTTGTCAAACAACAATCTTCGGCGCATGATGGTACTGTTTTGGTGCAAGTTTGATAGTTTAGCAGAGTAAGCCTCACTTCGGTGAAAATAACACTTCAAAGTGTTAAGAAAGGAAACATGTGAAGGCAGCTGGTGAGAAAACAAGCAGTCCCTCCCTTGGGATCTGTCTGTGAGTGTAAGACTGAAAGCTAATCTAAAAGATTCGACTGCTTCTCCTTGTTTTTCAAAAGATCTCTCAAACCTTGCAAAATGAATCCATGATTGTAGGCTACAAAAGTCATATATTCTGATCATTCAATAATGATAACAGAGCAATTTCTAGACTGTAAACACATCTAAAGAAGAGCTTGAATCTGGTTTTAGGATTAAATTATTTTGAATAAAATCTTTGCTGCGTTCCTGACATTCAACTTTTCACAATGCAAAATTGTTTCTCAAATATCACTCAAATATTATGAACACTCTTGAAAATAAAGGTTCTTTGTTGGCGTTGATAGTTCCGTGAAGAACCTTTAACATCCATGGAATCTTTCCATTTTAAAAAGGTTCTTTAAAAAAGGTTCTTCACACTCTTAAAAAAAAGTTTTCCAAAAGCGGTTTTTGATGCCATATAAGAACCATTTTGGGTTCCACAAAGAATCTCTCAGTGAACAGTTCTTAAAAGAACCACTTGTTTTTCTTAGTGTGAAGAATATTTTAATAAAATAAATGACCATTTTCCACTATATAGAACCTTTTGTGGGATAAAATATTCCATAGATGTTTGTTATTTTTGTTACTCACTTCATTAATCTGAAACAGTGTCTCAAAATGAGCCTTTCAGGAATGTGTCACAAAGTGATGTCACATTGGTTCAGGCCACACCCACTATTGGTGATGTAATCCATCCTATTGGCTTAGCTCCGCCCCTGAGTGAGCTGTCCACGATCCGCCATGTTTATCTCCTCGCCATGCAGAGTATTTAACTGCAGTAGAAATGTATTCTTATTAAAGCTACTAAAGTTAGCCTATTCAATCAAGGGCAGTGAGGGATTCTCGGTTTTGTTTTCTTGTTTGATTCATATTAACAGGAGTAGGTACTGTGCATTACGCTGCTTTCACTATAATACACAGGTCTAATATATACATGCGATTTCTTTCCCAGCTGTTTACATTCACAGACATAACCGACTGTTTACATGAACTTTGTCTTTTTGACTTAACCTCTGTTACGCAAGGTTAAAGGAAGAACAAGAAGAAGAAGATGATGAAGATGATGATGATTCAAAAGTCTTTAATAATCCACTTAAAAGGCCATCCAAACAGGCAGGCACACAAAACATAACCTCTAATGTAGACATGACCGGGCCACTGTAAACTGACAAGACAAATGAGGCTAATGATGATTAACACCAGTGCAGATTAAATGAATCTCAATGACAACTAAAGAGTGGTGGGAAACTGAACAAAGGAACACCTGTGACTGAACATAACAAACTAAAAGTCTATGAAAACAGAAACTAACTGAAAATAACAAACTGAAAGTTCCCAGTAATGTCCTGTTAATTTGCAGCTTCTTATTTACACTATTTTACTGTAACTGTACCATTGGAGAAATGAAACTGAAATAAAAATATATTTAAACATTAAAAAATAGGCTTGTAAAAATGAAAAAAGCACAAGCAAAATTAAACTAAAAATTTAAATATATAACTAAAACAAACCACACCAAACAGAAACTAACTGAAAATAACAAACTAAAAATCCATGAAAACAGAAACTAACTGAAAATAACAAACTAAAAGTCCATGAAAACAGAAACTAACTGAAAATAACAAACTAAAAGTCCATGAAAACAGAAACTAACTGAAAATAACATACTATAAGTCCATGAAAACGGAAACTGAACATAACTGTGACAACCTTGTGTGTATTTGACAGTCTAAGTGCAATAGAAGACGTGAAAGAGAATAGTTTAATACTCAAGTGAAGCTCCGTCTGACATCCAGCTTTCTGTGTTTGTGCTTCGGATCTGTATGCTCAGAAAACCATATATTTCAGTTTAGACTGATATGGCTTTAAAACGCGTGCAAATAATAAAGGTACGTTTACACGACAACGATATTGCTTGAAACGGAGAAGTTTTGAGAACTTTGAGGTTTTTTTCCCCCGCGTACAAGGAACCGTGATAACGACGCTGTATTCTGCTGCCAAGCCGCTAGATGGCGATGAAACCCTATAGACTGATGACTGAACACGCCATGACGTCTTCGTCTTCAAAGATTTGCGTTTTTGTTGTTAGCACGGAGACTGTTTTCAAAAACTTGCACTTTGAAACTCAAGTTTGCGTTTTTAGGCACCCAAAATGCCTTTGTCGTGTAAATGAATGGCCCAAAATGCATAAAATGTTTTACGTTTTTAGTTTATGGTGTCGTGTAAACAGCAGACATTAACGTTATATTAATTTAATTTTTGGCAGAGTATCCGAGGGAGGAGCTGCATAATAGGTTCCCTTTAAAGGTGATTTACAAAACCTTCAATTCCAATAAAAACCTCAACTTTCAAGAGTTGATGATTTTTTAAAAAATTTTTAGGAACTGATAACTGAGAGTTTTTTTGGGGAAACAAAAATGATTCTTCTATGCATTACTGTGAAAAACCTATTGTGGAACCTTTTTTTCAAGAGTGTAGTAAGATAGTAATATTAAAAATATGATATATTTTGCTACAATGTGGACATGGTTTCTGTTTATGTCATGTGTGTTGTTGGTTTAATAAAGCAGCATTATGAAGTGAACTTCCAGCTCGAAAGAAAGACAATTTCATCATGTCCACAGGCTACACAAAAGTTAACACAACTGTGTTTGATGGTGTATCTCACAGCAAACCTGATACCAAGCCAGTCAAAAACCATTCACATAACACAGGTGAGTTTTTATGTGGCATTATGTCATAATAAATCCAATGCTGAATCAGTTAATCATTTGTGTGTGTGTGTGTTGTGTTTAGCATCTCGGCCTGACTGGATTCTCTACACAGTTCCTGCATCAGCCTTTTTGATTGGGATTGTTCTGTTCACCTTCATCTGCAAAACACAACGACGCAGGAATGGCAAGTATTGTGAAAACACACACACACAACCATGTTTAGTATGATGTTATACTTACAACTGTGAAATATTGTGCTGTAAAATAACAGCAAGTTACTGGCAGCTGGTTTGTACTGTTAATTTGCAGCTCTTCTTCTTTACACGCTTTTCATGTAATTGCACCATTGAAGAACTGAAACTGAAATAAAAATAACATTTAAACATATTTAAAACAAACAATAAAAATTAGGCTTATGAGAATGAAAAAAAGCACAAAAAAATTAAACAAATTAAAATAAAACTAAAATTGACAATATTAAAATGAAATCTTATTCAATAGGCCTATCAGTAAACAAAAAATGAATAAAAATACCATTCATAAAAAAACCTATAGATAATACTAAAATAACACTGAGCAAAAAATACAAACACTGGCATTTGAAAAAAAATAGAAGCTTAATGTTGACAAATTATATACTCTGCATTATAGAGTATATACTGTGTATATATATATATAGCATTACTTCATAGATTTATAATGGTCCTTAATGATAATTATTTCTTTATGCAGCACGTACACAGCAGAGGACACACATAAATGGACACGTTGCCACTTTTGGGTGATGTATTTGCCTTTTCCAATACTAATTTTCTTTGCTTTTTTACTTTATATATCTTGTTGGGACAAAAGTTGCCAAAAGTGGCAGTATTATTTAAAAAAAAAAAATCAAAACCAACTGGTGCTCTAAAATAACAACTTTTTTTACTTCTCTGAAATGTATACACTTTAGTTTTATTATGTTTTTTTATTTAATATTTAGAATTTGAAGGGGATTTTATGGTACCAAATTATATTCATGCAGTAGTTATAATATATGTTTTCAGCATTGACCACTTAAACTTGAACTGTGGTAAATATTGAATGCTTTGGAGCACAGCCTTGAGTTTGATCTCTTTTTAAGATGGCACTTAGTTGATTATTGCAAACGGGAAAAAAGTGAACTTAAAGTTTATCATTGAAAAATGCGCAAAAATCCTTTTTTTGTTTGTTTTTTTCAATTTTTATGTGAAATAATATTTTTTGTCCAAAACATGTTTTACTCTAAAACTGTGAGAACACCAAATCCATGAATCTAAACAAGTTGTGTTCCAAATTTTAGATTAATATCTAAAAAAAAAAAAGCTTTTGTTTGGGCGCAGTACCAAACATGTCCACTAGATGAAATCCGCTTCACATTCATTTGTAATTCATTGAACAGTAGCTACAAGTGTGACTATTTTTTACTTCTTTTTTATATCCTTTTCAAATCATGTCCATGATTTTTGGTGTGTGTTCACATAGCGAATGCCAAAACCTTCAACAAGTTTCGTACCATTCCGATAAAGTAGAAATTTCTATAAAAAAAAAAAAAACGTAAAATGTTTCGGTCAAACATGACCAAAGAGCACCAGAGGGATTTAATACTCGTTCATGGTCTTAATCATTTTATTTTTTTATAAAAACATTTTATAAAAACCTCCTCTCTATCCACCTGTCATAATTACTTTCTAATAAAATCAAGTCACGTCCTTCATTTGAAACATTTGAAACACTGGAAACATGTCAAGGAGTGAACGTGCTAAGAAGGCTGTTTCATGTTTTTTAATGTGTGTTGTCACAGGCTCTCTGTGAGATGGATAGAGAGTGCTAAAAACATCAAGAAGGGTAAAACACTGCTAATAATTTCAATTAATAATTCCGAATTCAAATCCAGAAAAATACAGTAATATCTTGTTGTTGGCTTCGACAGACGAGACGCAGTCCTATGAGAATGTAGATGCAGCTATTTACAGCAATCAAGACAAAGTCACGTATTTTGTGTCTGCAGATGAAGGTACTGTATATCCTGGCCAGCAGGAATTATGAGAGCGGATTTTATTCTGCAATTTAATGGTGGTTGCTTTTAGATTATCTTGAACCTGATGCAATTGGGGAAGAGGAAGTAGCGGCGCCAGAGGAACACCAGAACACCCTACAACCGCCCGGCAACTTGACAGACACCGGTGAGGATATGATTTTTGATTTTACACACACATACTATATAAACATGTATATCACTCTCAGAAAAAAAGGTACAAAAGCTGTCACTGGGGCTGTACCTTTTCAAAAGGTACACTTTTGTACCCAAAGGCTGCATATTGGTACCTTAGTGGTACATATTACCACCTAAAATGGACATATTAGTACCTAAAATGTACATATTAGCTCATGAAATGGACATATTAGCACCTAAAATGTACATATAAACACCTAAAATGTACTTATTAGCTTATGAAATGGACTAATTCTCCACAGACGGAGAGTCGTATGAGAACATGGAGGGATGTGTGTATGCTCAACCCCGAAAATGGACACAGAAACAGCGGCATGCGACTGAAGACGAGGGTGAGGGATCAAACACACACACACACACACACACACACGTCATGTCACACACATTTCTCAGTTTGTGTAAATCTACTTAGGGTTTAGAGTGTTTATTTTTTCCCACATTCATTTCCCACATGTCTAGTACAATTATGTGGTTTTGTTTTATTAATACAGTGTATACTTTTTTATTGATTTATCCCAAAAGAATAGAAGTGAAATGTGACAACATGCCCCATAGGTGGGGTACATTGTAAAATCACCATATGACAGCTTAAAATGCTGTCTGATCTAATAAAAAAAAAAATAGTCAAACCAAAATAGTTTCTTAATAGAATACAATTATTGACTTTTTCATATAAAATAACGGCATTTTTTTAATAATTAAAAATAAACTAATTTTTGAGTTTGACAACAAACACACCGGAAAACACAGCTATACAGCATAATTCAAAACAAAATAATATTTAATAATTTCTGAACATTGACTCTCAGTCTTTATCTATTTCTCTTGTTTTCTCAATAGAATTCATAAAAGTATAGAATTTAATGGCATATTTATGGAGCGAATTATGTGCCTAAACCTCACACACAAACAAAACGTGTTTTACTCACACCCAATGATTCACAAACAAACTCAGTGTGGTTTGTAAATACAAAACATCACTCACAAACTAATGCGTATTTTTCTGCAAATAAAAAAAAAAACGTCCCTATCAAACAAACACAGTATGTTTTACATATACATAGAAACGTATTTCTTCAATGACCAAAATATCCTGCAAGTACAAACTAAAATCTTTAAAAGTACAAAACAAAATTCTACAAGTACAAAACAAAATTCTACAAGTACAAAACAAAATTCTACAAGTACAAAGCAAAATTCTGCAAGTACAAAACAAAATTCTACAAGTACAAAGCAAAATTCTACAAGTACAAAACAAAATTCTACAAGTACAAAACAAAATTCTACAAGTACAAAACAAAATTCTACAAGTACAAAACAAAATTCTACAAGTACAAAACAAAATTCTACAAGTACAAAACAAAATTCTACAAGTACAAAGCAAAATTCTGCAAGTACAAAACAAAATTCTACAAGTACAAAGCAAAATTCTGCAAGTACAAAACAAAATTCTGCAAGTACAAAACAAAATTCTACAAGTACAAAACAGAATTCTACAAGTACGAAAAACTGTCACGTGACTTTTGGCACTATTTTTCCGCGTCCAGGCAGAATCAGATTTTCTCACAAATACAGTGGAACAACTTCCTCTTCTAGAACAGTAGATGGCGCTAAGATAAGGGATCAATTTGCTCGCCTTTGCCCATGGGAAAATGAGCGGTGAACAGGTGTGTTTCTGTCTAACTTTATCTATAATTAACCTTATTGAGGTTTTGGTAAATGTTTATTATATAGACAGAAATCCACATTAGCACTTAGTAGTAACTTAGTAGCACTCCATTGTCTGTCCAAAATAATAATTTGGACAATACATCACAGGGAAGAAACAACTGTATATTGTTTGATTTGTTCATTCATTATTTTATTACATTAACAGTTACGCTGACTGAATTCCAACTAAATTAATGAATAAGTGGGACCCTTTCAATTAAATGAAATGTTCTCATTAATTTACGGAGAACGAAAGAAATAGAGTCATTCAGTAAATGAAACATTTTTACAAAAATGTAAAAGCAACATGATGGCAGAGCTTTCAGCTTATAGATTCCCTTATCCTAGAGTGGAGTAGGCTACGTTACTACTAAGTGCTAATGTGGATTTCTGTCTATATAATAAACATTTTTCAAAACCTCAATAAGGTTAATTAGCCTATAGATAAAGTTGGACAGAAACACACCTGTTCACCGCTCATTTTCCCATGGGCAAAGGCGAGCAAATTGATCCCTTATCTTAGCGCCATCTACTGTTCTAGAAGAAGAAGTTGCTCAACTGTATTTGTGAGAAAATCTGATTCTGCCTGGACGCGGAAAAATAGTGCCAAAAGTCACGTAACAGTTTTTCGAATTCTGTTTTGTACTTGTAGAATTTTGTTTTGTACTTGTAGAATTTTGTTTTGTACTTGCAGGATATTTTGGTCATTGAAGAAATACGTTTCTATGTATATGTAAAACATACTGTATTTGTTTGATAGGTACATTTTTTATTTGCAGAAAAATACGCATTAGTTTGTGAGTGATGTTTTGTATTTACAAACTACACTGAGTTTGTTTGTGAATCATTGGGTGTGAGTAAAACACGTTTTGTTTGTGTGTGAGGTTTAGGCACATAATTCGCTCCATACATATTTCTAATAGGGGCACATTGTAACGCAGTGTTACGACATGCCCCAACTACACAACTTTAAACCCTGCTAGTGTCTTCTGCTAGTTAGCAAAGCATTAAAGAACTATATCAACAGTTAAACAACAGATTGGAGATTAAAATAATATCAGATTTGTCTCATTTTAAATAAACACAAAAAATAGGGATGAAAAATTAACTAATGTAAGTTAAATAAATGTTCAGTAAAATCTTACAAAGAATTTTGGTGCAATTTTTTCTCTATATATTGTGTTGAAATGGCAACTAGTAAATACACCAAGTTTCAAGAAGTATTTAAAACAAGTGTGTTAACTAGCCCCGCGCTCCCCTACTGTCTACTTAAATAAAGGTTTCAAAAAAGGGGTTTTTACTTGAAGTCAAACCATTTTTTGATTCCCCCAAAAAACTTTCTGTCAACAGTTCTTAAAAGAAACATTTTCCTTCTTAGTGTGAAGATAAATCTAAAGAACATTTCCCCCCTCTATAATGACACTTTTATGGAATGGAAAAGTTCCATTTATTCTAGAAGGTTCTTTACGGAACCAATAAAGAACCTTCATTAATGTTAAATATGTTTCCCCGGCCACACAGACTACATCAATCCAGATGAAGACGGAAAACAAGATCTCGCTCTGGACCACACAGACACTGGTAAGAGTTTCACTGTGTGTTTGTAAGACCATGTGACAAATGACATTTAAAAAAACAGTCTCGTTCTCTCCTTCCAGAGTCGTATGAAATCATGGCCGGATCAGACTGTATATACAACAACGCAGAATCCCAAGACACCACAGAGGACGGTGAGTGTGTGCACTGTAAAAAAAAATATTTTCAAGACTTGTTATCACAACATATTTTCTTTTGTCAAATCAACTTAAATAATTTATTTAGTTGAGATAACTTATTATTTTGAGTTTCTGATGATTAATCTCCTTCATTGTATTAACTCACTTTATCCAGTTCAGTCAACTTAAAATTTTAAGGCAACCAGGTTACTTACTTTTTTAAGTTAAACCAACAATATTTTTTCACAGTGTGTGTGTGTGTATGTGTTAAAGACATACTCGTCTCTTTACACTCGATTGAATTAGTGTGTAAACACGCCTGTTTCAGATTCATATGAACAGATGCATGGAATCCCAGTCCCGGTCCAGAAAGAGATGGTTGGATGAAGAAAGGGGGAATGACAGAGGAATGGATAACTGCCGTGTCTGACGATAGGAGGAATAGGGAAACAGAGAGGTTTTTTTTCTATGATTAAACCCTAAGAGAGCACCTACAGAATGAGTAATTGCTAATTATTATTTTTTACAACTTTGTAAACATAAGTACTTATCAAAAACAACCTTGAAATAAAATCGGTTTACTTTTTTGGCCTTGTGCACAATTCATCAACACAACACAGTTAGTGAACACCTACTAACAATGAGTAATACATTAATTAAAGTATTTATTCATCTTTGTTAACATTAGTTCATGTCAGCTCAGGTCCATTATTTAATATTAACAGATGCAACTTATGATTTTAATAATGTATTACTAAATGTTGAGATTAGCATTGACTAAGATGAAAAAATGCTTTTTTGGTGTGGTGTTAGTTCATATTAACTAATGTAGTTAACTAATATTAACAAAGACAAAGACACACAAACCAAAAATATCTTAGCCTACATTTCCGTTATCCAATCAAATCCTGAAGTCCATCCCAATGCAAAACAGGAGACACAAAACTGAGTCTACAGGTCTGTTGAATACATTTTATTACATTAGCCATATTTTTTAGACAGATGACCAGAAACCAGACAGGAAAAGAACCAAATGTGTGTCTGTATATGAACGGCAAGCAATATCAAGCCATGTACTATTTAAATTAGGAAACTTTCACAAACTAACTGGTTTCCTCCTTGTGAACTGCTCAGATGGAACAGAGGAGAATAAAAGTGAAGCATGTTTCGGAAACGCTAATTATTCCATGACAATGTTTGATTGCTCATCCTAGCAATACTTTACTCTTTTTCTTCATGTAGAAAATAGGTGGGCGCATATTTTAAGGGCTTGCGAAGACATAATCAATAAGAACATAGTCATTCTCCTAGTCAATAACCGGGGCCGTAATTCACATCCAGAGCAATTTCTCGAACTCCAGTCCACAAAGGCTTCATACACCAAATTCTCAAAGAGTTTCCCTCTTTCATGTGGTCTCTCAGCCCCAGTTGTATTTGTCGTTCTCTGCCATGGGAAGGATTTCTGTGACCAGGCCCGTGCCGATGGTTTGGTTGCCATCTCTGAGCGTGAACCTTTGGCCTTTGCCGAGAGCCATGGGCTGTCGGAGGACCAGGATTATAGACGTGTCCTCTCCGGGCATCACCATCTCCTACCAAACGAGAGACGGAGAAAACAACCCATTCAGAGCAAAAGCTTCAGCAAGAACTAGTGCTGATGTTTAGTATTTCTACAGGTGAAACGAACCTTCCCGGGAAGCAGTTCTACTAGACAGGCCATGTCCCAGGTGTGAGAGAACATGATGGGCATGAAGTTTGTGCAGAATGGCTTGTGCCGGCCGCCCTCCTCCTTGCTAAGGACGTAGACCTGCAGACGCACATTTCATTGGTTGGTGAAGCAGGACAGAAGGTGCTCAACTGATGTTTAATGTTTTCAAATTCACACACCTGAGCTTTGACCTTCTGGTGAGGCTGGACGGATCCAGGTTTGATCATCACCATGCCTCTCCTGACGTCCTCTCTCTTTAGACCACGAATCAGAGCGCCCATGTTATCGCCCGCCTCCGCCCGGTCCAGGGACTGATGGAACATCTCGATACCTGAGAGAAACAGAGATAGTTTCATTTTTTGTGTAATGACACATTTTGACCCTTAAAAAGTGACTCAAACTCTTAAAAGACTCAATTTTATCTATTCTGTTTGCTGTCAGAAGAGAAATCCACATTATACTAGAACATTTACCATAAAAATATTAATATTTTGAATTAGCTTTTAGAATTCAGAAAGTATTCAGCTTTAAATTATTTTTAGCAATTTTAACACTTCAAACTAAACTTTTTCAGTAACAACATTTCTAAGTTTTTCATCTGTTATTTAGATTTTACTATTATATTTTAAAAACACACAACAACTGAAGTAACAATTTAAACATTTAATATTTTTTTAAAAAGCTGTAATTTTATTTATATACCATTATAGCATTTAAGTTTATATTTACATTTTTCTTTTTAATTTTGAAGTATTAGTAATTTTACTATGCACAAACACATATACATACATTATGTAAAAAAATTTAGTAATCTGCCAAAAAAAAGGGGGGAAAAGAAAGATTTTTTTTTTAAATAGTTTATATATATATATTAATATTTTAATATTAATAATATTTTATATTATACATATTTAACATATTTTAAATCATAATTATGTATACTATTGTAACCCAGGTGTTTTCTGCCTTGTTTCCTCCTTCTCGCGGCTCCGCACTGCGTGCGCATTGTCGCGAGACTTCGTGTCAGTATCGCGAGATTTGACACGGAGTTGCGTCATTTTCCTTTAAATATGGCCGCGCGCTGTTTGGTGTGTGTGAGCCGCGAGGGAGCCGCGAGTGAGTCGCGAGTTAGTTGCGAGTGTTGAGCTGCTGCAGGTAGGCATCTAGCCCTGTAAACATTTCATGCATTAGACTGCTGGTTTAACTGTTATGCCTGCTAATATTTTAGATGCCTCTACTATTCAGTTGACTGCTGTTTGAGTGACTTAATGATACAGGAACTGGTGAGTTGATTGTTTGTATTATATGGAGCTAATAGTGTATTGTATATATGGATTGGTTAGCCGGTGCTGGCGCTGGCTGTACTTGTTTATTTGTACTGAATTTGACTATATATTGTGCCTATTTATATGAACAATGCATCTTATCTTAACATTGATGTTGACTTATGAAGTGTCAATTACTCATTGATCTTGATGTATTTTGAAGCTATTATTGATATTGTTTATTTATAGGAGTACTCTTGTTGATTGTTAATTGATTTTATATTGCTACATGCAGTATTTAAATTGAATCATGTATTTGATCAAATGAATGAACTGAGATTATGATTGTGATATTAAGACTTTATGGTATTATGATTATGGTGATATATTTGTGATACTTGGAACCATTGTTAATTAATTGGTCCTGTTTGTACAGGCCAGGTTCCGTGTATGGATGGCGAGCCGCTAGGCCCGAACTGATTCTGTGGAGTTTATCCATCTACCGGTGTGGTAGGAGGCGCTGCAGCTGCTTAATTGAAACATCTGCACACACCTTTGGACATTTTTACATCTGCACACACTTTCAGACCATATTTATTGAACTGATTTCATGGTCCATTCCATTATGGACTCAAGTGACTCCTGTTTTACAGATTGTGTGTTGTAACTGCTGTGGCTTCAAGTACTGCCTATTGAGTAGAGTGCTGATTGTTGTACGCTCATTAATAACTTTGAACTGAATACTACCTAGGTGCACATGTAAATATTGTATTGTTGTCTATTGTTAATTGTCTATATTTATGTAATACAATTCACAACTGCACTGCAGCAATGAGTTTGTGTGTTCATTGAACTTCACCCTTTTCCTCTTTGAGCCGAACCAAGATTTTCTGATACTGGTCTACTATTGATATATCTATAATTGCAGCATTTATACATGCTACATATTGTGGCGAGCCAGCCAGGAGGAAGGGGTGAGTTTAATGTACAACTGGGTTGTTGATTTGGGTTTATAGCAGTTCAGTGAAAAAAAATGGATGTGTTTTTGAAACGTGGTATCAAATTACCAAATGCTGTATTGTTGGATGGTATAACAGAATCAGAAAGTAATGAAGTCATTGAGTTTCTAAGTAAATATGGGTCAGTCAATAAGATTGAGACAATATCTGGGACTGAGTCTGAGTATGATGGTGCACTTGTTGTCGAATTTACTAGTGGTGCAGCTTTGGAAGCGCTACGTCCCATTTTGCCATACACCTGGGTTTCAGTTAAAAAGATACATACATGTTGTATTATGGAGCTATCTTCTGTTTGTACAGATAGCTTAGCTCGAGCTAAAACTATGTTGTATTTGTCTGATTTGCAGAATTTAGCCAAATTAACTGGGGTGGATTACACGGAAGTGCTCAAGTCGATGATGTCTCAGATTGGATTTTCGGTCTCCAAGCTTCACCCTGCACCTCTTGTGCACACTGCTACTTCTGGGTCAGTCTCTGAAGACCCCAATGATCCTTCTGATTCTGTGCCGGCAGGGATGAGGCCTTCAATTCCTAACATTGACGTCCATCCACCTGACATCCAGCGCCACATAGTAGAGCACATTGTAAAGAGTGAGGAGAGTGCAGCACATCACCAGAGGATCAGGGTTTTCTCAGGTCGCCTTCCCAGACCTACACATGAGGCTGACTATGACACCTGGCGGTCAGGAGTAGAACTGTTGTTGAAAGATCCATCTGTGTCCGATCTCCATCGCTCTAGGAGGATAGTGGAGAGTCTCCTTCCTCCAGCAGCAGATATGGTCAAGCAATTGAGTTCCAGCACACTGCCAATAGTGTATTTAGACACTCTTGACTCTGCATATGCTACCGTTCAGGATGGGGATGAACTGTTTGCTAGATTCATGGACACATTTCAGGATGCTGGTGAGAAACCATCTGCCTACCTCCAACGGCTCCAGGTTGCCCTGAATTCTGCCATGCAAAGGGGAGGAGTTATAAAGTCTGACATAAATCGGCATTTGTTGAACCAGTTCTGTCGTGGATGCTGGGACAATTCTCTGATTGCTGAGCTCCAGCTAAAGCAAAAGAAGACTTGTCCACCCACTTTTTCTGAGCTGCTGCTGCTATTGCGTACTGAAGAGGATAGAGAGGCAGCAAAAGCATATCGAATGAAGCAGTATCTGGGGTCTACACGGCATAAAGCTACAGCTCATGTCCAGTCTGCTCGCGTTAACTCTGAAGATGGGGCCACCGTTACTGCTTTGGTTAATATCACCCAGAAATTGGCTCAACAACTAACTGACATCCAGCGACAGTTAGCCATGCTAACAGCCAGCCAGTCAACGCCCAGTGCTATCCCCAAGACTCCCACCTACAGTAAACCGCCCGTCAGGGCCACCAATCAGCAGCCTCATCGATCGACACCTACTCAGGCCAAACCTGGTTATTGTTTCCGGTGTGGTGAGGATGGCCACATCCGTCCCCAGTGTGAGAATGAACCAAATTCTGCTCTGGTTGCTCGTAAAAGGAAACAGTTCACTAGCAACCAACAAACTGCTTCCAATTCTGTCCATTTAAACTGAGTCCGGTTCCTGTTGTGGGACAGACAGGGGCCAGAGGGGACCAAATCCGTCCCAAGAAAGAAGGAAAAAAGAAGATTGTCAAGTGTGCAGAGATATCACAGCCTAAGATAAAGAATGCAAATATACAGCTTCCAAGGGGCCTGGTGGGTTCAAAATGTTCTACAGTCGTTCAGGTTGCTGGACAGAACTATCATTGCCTTTTGGATACTGGCTCACAGGTCACCACGATTCCCGTCTCTTTTTACAACCAGAGTCTCAGCAATCACCCTGTGATGCCACTTTACAACTTACTCCAGGTAGAGGGTGCAGCTGGTCAGTTAGTGCCATATCTGGGGTATGTAGAAATGACCATAGGCTTTCACAAAGAATTCTTGGGAGAAGAATTTGATGTACCGACCCTTGCCTTGGTCGTACCTGATGGCCATCCTGAGGGTTCTTCAGTTGTGCTTATCGGCATGAATACTCTGGAGCCTTTATATGAACAATACATTAGGAGTGACATCTCTAATTTTCAACCCAGGACCCAAGGGTACTGTGCCGTCTTAAAGCTCCTGCAACTGAAGCACCAACAAAATCAGGTGGGTCGAGCAGGAACCGTGAAGTTGTTGAGTCAGACACCAGTCCTGATTCCCTCTGGTCAGACCATTGTTCTAGAGGGATCGGCCAGTATAGACAGTCCAACTACAGTTCAGTGGGCTGTGATTGAACATCCCAGATCATCTCTTCCTGGTGGGCTATGTGTCCAGAGTTGTCTCATCACATTTCCAACTCATGCTCCCTACAAGGTTCCTGTTCTTGTTATGAACGAGTCTGAACAAGGTGTTCTTATTCCACCAATGACTGTAATTGCTGATATTGGTACATCACCTACGATCCTGGGCCAGCACACCATAAATACTTCTCCAGTCCAAGGATATCCCCAAAGAAGCACTTTGGAGTTAAATTTTGGAGAATCACCTATCCCATCTGAATGGAAGGAGCGAGTAACTTTCAAGCTCAATCAAATGCCTGAAGTGTTTTCTTACCACGACCTTGATTTCGGCTGTACGGACCAGGTAAAACATCATATTAAGCTCCACGATGAAACCCCTTTCAAGCATCGAGCTAGACCTATTCATCCCCGGGATCTTGAAGCTGTTCGGAGCCACTTACGGGATCTGCTTGAAGCCGACATCATCCGGGAGTCAGAGTCACCATTTGCTTCCCCAATTGTGGTGGTCCGGAAACGGAATGGCGACGTTAGGTTGTGTATTGATTATCGAAAATTAAATTTACAAACAGTGAAAGACGCATATGCCCTGCCAAACCTTGAAGAGTCGTTTTCAGCATTAACAGGCTCCAGATGGTTCACTGTTTTGGATCTTAAGTCTGGATATTATCAGATTCAAATGAGTGAAGCTGACAAGGCTAAAACCGCATTCGTCACACCATTGGGGTTCTGGGAATGGAATCGGATGCCACAAGGCGTCACGAATGCTCCAAGTACGTTCCAGAGACTTATGGAGAAGTGTATGGGGGATTTAAATCTCAAGGAAGCTCTTGTATTTCTGGATGACATCATCATCTTCTCCGACACTTTAGAGGAACATGAGAAACGCCTACTCAGAGTACTTAACCGCCTGAAGGAATTTGGCTTGAAACTGTCCCCTGAAAAATGCAAATTTTTCCAGTCTAGTGTATGTTACCTTGGACATGTCGTGTCTGAGAAGGGCGTTGAAACAGACCCTGAAAAAATTTCTGCCCTCAAATCCTGGCCAGTTCCCCGAAATCTTAAAGAGCTACGGTCTTTTCTAGGGTTTGCAGGATACTATCGGAGGTTCATTAAGGATTATGCCACCATAGTAAAACCTCTCAATGGCCTTACTAGAGGCTATGCACCCATCTGTCGATCTATCAAAAATAAAAGTCCTGCTGAAAAGTTCTTGGACCCGAAGCAGTCCTTTGGGGAGAGGTGGACGTCTGATTGTCAAGTTGCTTTTGACACAGTAATTTCTAAGCTTACATCTGCTCCTGTCCTTGGGTTTGCCAATCCGAAGTTGCCCTATATCCTTCACACAGATGCCAGTATACTCGGATTGGGAGCCGTTCTATACCAAGAACAGAATGATCAACTCCGTGTTATCGCCTATGCTAGCCGAGGCCTATCTCAGAGTGAATCTCGATATCCGGCACACAAACTTGAGTTTCTGGCTTTAAAATGGAGTGTCACAGAGAAATTCCATGATTACCTCTATGGTGCTGACTTTACAGTTGTTACGGATAACAATCCACTTACATACGTATTGACCTCAGCAAAATTGGATGCCACAAGCCACCGATGGCTAGCTGCACTGTCTACGTATTCCTTTAAGATGCAGTACCGTGCTGGTAAACACAACTTTGATGCCGATGCCCTGTCCAGACGTTATCATGGAGAAGTCCCAGATAGGGCTACAAGCTGTGAAGAATGGGAACTTGTGAATCACCTTGCAGAGCAACTGTGTGGCCCCGGTGAAGTTGCAGAAATTTCCCCTGACATTGTGGCTGCTATTTGTCAGAGCAGTCTTATTAGATCCTGCTGTTCTGCTGACTACAATCAACTTGATGTGACTTTAGTTGAGTCTCTTTCAATCCATGCTAATATTATTCCTGACTGTTTTGCAGAGGAAGAGTCACATGGCCTTCCTGTTATTTCCCCTCTGACACACGCTGACCTGAAAGAAGAGCAGCGTGCCGATCCAGCAATTCGAGAAGTCATTTACCAACTTGAAACAGGAGAAAAGGTTTCTTCCACGGTTCGCGAGGAACTTCCTGAGCTTCCATTGTTGTTAAGGGAGTGGAATCGGTTACAGCTGGAAGATGGAGTTTTATACAGAAGAAGACAGGACGAAGATAAACTTGTCCTTCAGCTTGTTCTGCCCCCAGTGTTGCGTCCTACCATCCTGAAGAGTCTCCATAGTGACATGGGACACATGGGCATAGAGAGAACCTTGGATTTGGTCCGGCAGCGGTTCTTTTGGCCAAAAATGGCCGCTAATGTCGAGAACTTCATTAAAACCTGCGGTCGGTGTGTAAGACGTAAGACTTTTCCTGAAAAGGCAGCTCCGTTGGTAAATATTCAAACCAGTCGCCCTTTGGAATTAGTGTGTATGGATTTTCTATCCCTTGAGCCGGACAGTAGCAACACGAAGAACATCTTGGTACTTACTGATCACTTCACCAAATTTTCAGTCGCCATTCCAACTGCTAACCAGAAGGCCAAAACTGTGGCGAAGTGTCTGTGGAATGACTTCATGGTTTTCTATGGTTTTCCAGAACGGTTACATTCTGACCAGGGGCCAGACTTTGAGTCTAAGCTGATTAAAGAGCTCTGCGATGTAGCTGGTATTAAGAAAACTCGGACCACTCCATACCATCCCAGGGGCAACCCTGTTGAGCGCTTTAACCGGACGCTGTTAAACATGCTGGGTACTCTCGAGAGTAAACAGAAGACTAAGTGGAGAGAGTATGTTAAACCTCTTGTCCATGCGTATAACTGTACGCGGAATGAAGTGACGGGGTTCACACCTTATGAACTCCTGTTTGGACGATTACCTCGGCTCCCGGTTGACTTGGCTTTCGGGTTACCAGTCCGTGATTTTCCATCTCCTTCGCACTCCCAGTATGTGAAAGATTTAAGATCACGTCTCGAGGAGAGCTACAAGCTTACATGCCAGAATGCTCAGAAGTCAGCTAAAAGGAACAAAAGTCGGTTCGATCAGAGAGTAAAACCTGCAAGCTTAGATGTTGGTGACAGAGTCCTTGTTCGGAATGTTAGAATTCGAGGGAAACACAAGCTCGAAGACAAGTGGGAACAAGAAGTGTATGTGGTTGTGGACCGTGCCGGGGATCTTCCAGTTTACGTCGTAAGACCAGAGAACAAGGGAGGACCTAACCGTACGCTTCATCGTGATCTTCTCTTGCCCTGTGGCTTCCTATCGGCTTCTGTTACAGAGGATTTTCCAGAAGATCTTCCTGCTCAAAAACCCCATACTCGTAGCCAGAGTCACAACCGCACTGACCAAGTTGACATCTTTCAGGATGAGGATACAGAGGATGCTGATCTTTCCATCTTTAGGAGTCCTCCTCAGTTTCCAATGAAGTTTAGTGTGGAAAGAGTGAGTGGATGTGTATACGAACCAATGACTGATGACATAGTGGGGTTGGAATTACCGACTGCCTCAAGTGATGGTGATTCTGTCCCACTTTTTCCACATAGTCCTGTAGCAACCTCATTTGAAAATCACTTACCTGAAGTTGAAGAATCTTTTCCAATCACTGGTGAAGCTTCATCTACGTCCAGCTGTGGGGTAGAGGCTCCTGTGAGAGAGGCTGAAGTAAGAGAACTTGGAAATCCTGTACTTGACCCAATAAGCGATCATGTTACCAGAGAGATGGAGTTACCTGAGGGAGAAGGATTGGGATTTCTCATGGGAGAGACACCTATCAATGTGCTTGAAGCTGAAGTGCTTTTGGATCCTGAGGGTGAAGCTTGTGAGCCGGTCCAATCTGAGGCATCTGGGGGTTCTGCTACTGCCCCAAATGAAATAGTGGTATCTGACGTAGTACCTAGACGTTCAGGTCGGCAGCGTCAACCCATTCAACGTCTTCAATATGCAGTGTTGGGTAATCCATTAATTTCAGTTGTTCAAACTCTTTTCCAGAGCTTGTCTAATGTTTATACAGAGGCCTTAAGTCAAGCTGCTGCAGCAGACTCTGTCCCTAAACTGTAATGTTTTTGCAGTCCTTATGCAACGGGGACGTGCATGATTTGAGGGGGGAGGGTGTAACCCAGGTGTTTTCTGCCTTGTTTCCTCCTTCTCGCGGCTCCGCACTGCGTGCGCATTGTCGCGAGACTTCGTGTCAGTATCGCGAGATTTGACACGGAGTTGCGTCATTTTCCTTTAAATATGGCCGCGCGCTGTTTGGTGTGTGTGAGCCGCGAGGGAGCCGCGAGTGAGTCGCGAGTTAGTTGCGAGTGTTGAGCTGCTGCAGGTAGGCATCTAGCCCTGTAAACATTTCATGCATTAGACTGCTGGTTTAACTGTTATGCCTGCTAATATTTTAGATGCCTCTACTATTCAGTTGACTGCTGTTTGAGTGACTTAATGATACAGGAACTGGTGAGTTGATTGTTTGTATTATATGGAGCTAATAGTGTATTGTATATATGGATTGGTTAGCCGGTGCTGGCGCTGGCTGTACTTGTTTATTTGTACTGAATTTGACTATATATTGTGCCTATTTATATGAACAATGCATCTTATCTTAACATTGATGTTGACTTATGAAGTGTCAATTACTCATTGATCTTGATGTATTTTGAAGCTATTATTGATATTGTTTATTTATAGGAGTACTCTTGTTGATTGTTAATTGATTTTATATTGCTACATGCAGTATTTAAATTGAATCATGTATTTGATCAAATGAATGAACTGAGATTATGATTGTGATATTAAGACTTTATGGTATTATGATTATGGTGATATATTTGTGATACTTGGAACCATTGTTAATTAATTGGTCCTGTTTGTACAGGCCAGGTTCCGTGTATGGATGGCGAGCCGCTAGGCCCGAACTGATTCTGTGGAGTTTATCCATCTACCGGTGTGGTAGGAGGCGCTGCAGCTGCTTAATTGAAACATCTGCACACACCTTTGGACATTTTTACATCTGCACACACTTTCAGACCATATTTATTGAACTGATTTCATGGTCCATTCCATTATGGACTCAAGTGACTCCTGTTTTACAGATTGTGTGTTGTAACTGCTGTGGCTTCAAGTACTGCCTATTGAGTAGAGTGCTGATTGTTGTACGCTCATTAATAACTTTGAACTGAATACTACCTAGGTGCACATGTAAATATTGTATTGTTGTCTATTGTTAATTGTCTATATTTATGTAATACAATTCACAACTGCACTGCAGCAATGAGTTTGTGTGTTCATTGAACTTCACCCTTTTCCTCTTTGAGCCGAACCAAGATTTTCTGATACTGGTCTACTATTGATATATCTATAATTGCAGCATTTATACATGCTACACTATTTTTAATATTATAATATTTTATATTTAATTTTTAATAATTTACTATTTAATAGTTTTAGTTAACAATATCAACACTGTATTTATGTTGCTACTTTCCAAAGCTCAAAGACACTTTCAGATTAATACAGGGGGGAAAAAAGTGTTTCCTATTAGCATGCAATTTTAAATACTATTTTATGCCTTCAGATTTAGATACTATTATGCTATCATCTGATACTATTGTGCTTATACGTTTTCCAATAATCATATTTAAACACCAAATAGTGTTATGTTTGCACCACAACACAGACACATTAATTATGTTCAATGCAAGATCCCTTCTAAATGTATTAACCATATTTTGCACATTGACGAACTGCCTAATAAGATGACATGCATGTTTGGGCAAAAAGTAACTTCTCACCAGTAATGACCGATTTAAGGGAACGATTGTGTCCGAGAAATTCACATTCATCTCCTTTCTTGATCACTCCTCGCTCTAGCGTGCCAGTGACCACAGTACCACGACCTGCACACAGATACACACACTTCTGAGAATCACAGGCAGAAATACTCTTCTGCATATGAAAAAAAACAAACTATTATTTATTAACTTTGGATATGCTTTTACCCAAAGCAGAAAAGCACAAATAACAAATCATACGGCGTGTACTACTAATACTATATCAGCAGCACTTTCATAACACACACCTGGAATAGAATAGACTCCCTCTATGGGCAGCAGGAATGGCTTATCCAGATCTCTCCTTGGCAAAGGAATAAACGTATCTACCACCTCCAAAAGCTTCATAATGGAGTCGACACCAAGCTCCGGCTGCTTGTTCTAAACACACACAATCATAACAGAGGCAAAGCCATGAAGCCACTTGATTCAACACAATTTAAAACATCCCAGTTTCTTTATTTCGGCACGCGTGTATGTTGTGTTGTGTATCCAATCAAATCCACATGGACAAAATCAAGCCCCAGCCTACATTTACTCTTGTTCGGGAGGCGGTTTTACTTATATATATATATATACACACACACACACACGTCACAATAGGGAAGAAAAAAAAAACGATCGCAATTTCCATTTCACGCCGACTTTTAAAGGGGCTAAGTGTAGGTTTTTACTTAAAAAATCTTTAAGATAGAGTCTTCATTTGTACATTTATAATATAATAGAAAGAATGACACATTGACTGTCCACCATGGTTGCCTCTATCACCCTCTAGGCTCAATTGTGTGTGGAGGAATCGGGTCCGAATTGGCGTGAAAATTCATAAATGTGACGTCATGCGCGTTCTCATCTCCTTTGGCTTACATCCGTACGGCAGCCATTAGCAAGCAGCGGCAATCACTAGAAGTAGCGTTTCAAATGAACTCTGTGGACGGAAAGATGCGACCAGCCTCCAGCACAATCCAGATACCCACGAAAAAAAAAAAAGCCTTATCTAGTGCGGCCAACGAGCGTGCGCGCGAGACTGGCTGCAGTTTCTCTAACGGCCACTGGTGTCATCAGTAACGGTATGAAATTTCAGAACTTCCACAACGCTCTTTTAATCAGTTCATCTCCAAGCCTCCACGCTTACCTCCAGGGCACAGAGTGCCGATCCAATAACGACCGGTGTATTTTCGCCATCGTAGCCGAACTCGGTGAGCAGCTCTCGGATCTCCAGCTCCACCAGGTCCAGCATCTCTTTGTCCTCCACTGCATCGGCCTTGTTCACGAACACCACCACGTGCTCCACGCCGATCTGCCGCGCCAGCAGGAGGTGCTCGCGCGTCTGGGGCATCTGACCGTCGGTCGCCGCCACCACTAAGATGCAGCCGTCCAACTGAGACGTGCCTGTGATCATGTTCTTCAGGCAGAGAGACGTGCATTTATAATAAAGATGGCAAATCATATACACTACCGTTGGGCCAATTAGATTTTACTATATATTATACTGCCGCTTACATTTGTTTTGTTTTTGAATGTTCACAAACACTGCATTTATTTGACCAAACATACAGTAAAAACAGAACAATTTGGAAAATGTAATTAATAATTAAGTAATTAATGACAGACAATTTTTTAAATATTATTATTTTGAATTCTATTTGAATATATTGTAAAATGTCATTTATTCCTGTGTTGAAAGCTGTATTTTCATCATCATTACTCCAGTCTTCAGTGTCACATGATCCAGTGTTGGGTAAGTTACTCTAAAAAAGTAATTAATTACTAGTTACTAATTACCTCTTCAACAATGTAATTAGATTACTGTACTAATTACTCTCTCTAAAAAGTATTTAATTACTTTTAATTACTAAGTACTTTCAAAATCCCATATCAATCTAAGGATAGACATGAATCTGTTTTAATTCTTTAAAATAAATAGTATAAAATTGCATGAATTATCCTTAAACAGACCAAGGTGGAGAAAGTTACATTATAAAAACATACTTTTTAACATCAGACAATATATTTTGATGTTTTATGTCTGATCTTATGACATTTCACACTTTTTTCATACATATTTTACAATAATTCATACGAATTTGTACGAGTGCGGTCGTAATATTTAGACGCCTCATAAAATGCAGACGAATCGCTGTGAGATCGGATTGATCTATACACAGTATTTACCTCAATTACATCAAAAGTAACTGTAATTAAATTACAGATAAATGAAGAGTAATCCCTTACTTTACATTTTCAAGGGAAAAGTAATTAAATTACAGTAACTAATTCCTTAGTAATTAGTTACACCCAACACTGACATGATCCTTCAGAAATCATTCTAATATGATGATATAATGCTCAAGAAACATTTCTGATTATCATCAATTTGGAAAACAGTTGTGCTGTCTATATTTGAGGAAACTGTGATGCATTTATGGAAATCAGAAATGGAAATCGTATGTAACATTATAAATGTCTTTACAGTCACTTTTGATGTATTTAATGCGTCCTTGTTGCATAAGAGTATTCATTTATATCAGAATATATATGCTATGCAATCCGTGTGCAATACCTTGACGTAGTCGGCATGACCGGGGCAGTCTGTGTGAGCGTAGTGTCTGTTGGCGGTGGTGTATTCCACATGTGAGGCGTTTATGGTGATTCCTCTAGCCTTCTCTTCTGGGGCGTTGTCAATATCCTCATACGTCTTATAACTTGCACCACCGGCTTCGGCAAGGACTGACACAAACACATGGACAAAATCCAGTCAGAACACTGCTTTTTAAATAGTAAGAAATACAAACAAGTCGACAACATACCTTTGGTAATGGCGGCGGTCAGCGTGGTTTTGCCGTGGTCTACATGACCGATAGTCCCGATGTTCAAATGGGGTTTATCACGAGAGAAAACCTTCTTCGCTTCTGCCGCGAAATTCCTCCGACTTAGAGGAACTGCAAGCTGACAGAACATAATAAATTAATACATTTTATGCACATGATGATAATTCTATGATAATCACACATAATTATTTTACTCTCTTATTACATTATCCCCCGGTTTCACAAACAAAGCTTAAGCCTAGTCCCAGACTAAAATGCATTTTTGAGTGGTTTAAACTGAAAGTAACTTGCACTGGCATATCTTAAAATACGTGAGTGCCATTTTTTGTGTCATGATGCACACCAGTCATGCTTTTTTCCAAGGCACATTTATAAAATTTACTTAAATGGTCTAATTGAACTCCTGACTTAATCAAAGCCCTGTTTGTGAAACCAGGCCTATATTACTTAAAGTTACAGATATTTTGAATTTGAAAACTTACTAGTTTATAGGAGCTGTGCAGTAAACTCGGGGAGGTCAACTGAAGGGCTGGAAAATAGGAGAGAAAATGTGCTTAATATCATTTAAAATTTCATTCAGTTGCATGATTCATAGTGGCTTATGGTTTGGGTGCGTGTCTAAGCATTACTTTAACCACTATGAATCAAATAAAAACATGGTTCATATTCAACACACAACAAAACAACCATTTAAAAAGTTATTTGCCTCAAAGTCTCAGCCTCTTGTCACCGCTGTCAAAAGTAACGTTATCTGAGACTGAAACAGCTCTAATCTATTTCCCAGATGTGTAATCTTTATACAGGAGTCAGGACAGATCTTTCATTTCGTATGCATTAATGTCATTAATGTTGCTCTCTCTCAATGATGTAACGTTAAGGCACAAGGAACTTGACCTTGCTTACGGAACGCACGAGCATCCTTTCTCAATTCACAATCACTGCCATTTCCACACTCACATATATACACATATATATGAGGTACATCTCGCACGCAAAACACTCGTAACATAAACACAATGTCAATGCCACGCGAAAAGAAAAATACACCGGTTTTGTAACTTACCGGAGAGGCACGCGCGGACGCTCACGAGCGCAGCCATTTTGCGGACACTGACAAAAGCGCGTGCGCGGAGAAATACACATACGCCATCAACACGCGTCTTTACTTTTACCGTAACAGTTCTAAACAATGGAAGTGATATTAAACAAACCAAATTACTTTAATTTCATTGATGAATGCTTAGTCATTTATTGTATTACAATGAGACTAATGCTAACCCAACTACTGTTATAAACATAAGATAAACAGCAGAAAAATAGACCGTTAAAAAAACGTAAAAAGACTGTCTTTTATTTTAATTATATATGTAAATAAATAAATATAATTTATATATATATATATATATATATAAATATGTGTGTGTGTGTGTGTGTGTGTGTGTGTGTGTATGTGTTTATATATATATATATATATATATATATATATATATATATAATACGATCCTAATTAAATATAAAATATAAAATATAATTGTAGGGTTTACAATGTTTTAATTATGAACATTACTATGTATTCAATCTCTTTGGTGATTGAGATACAACCATGGACAGTAAAATAGGATACAACTAAATGAATGATTTTTTTTTTTTTTTTAATTTTTTTTTATGTATAGTATGTGTATACATACAGGCTATATGTGCTGTATTGCTTTCATTATTTTTCCTATGTGCAATTTGTATATTGTTGTTTTAATCTACTTGTATTTTTGATACCTTGGCATTAATAAAAATAAATAAATAAATAAATAAATCATTACGGTAATTTTCCTGACGTCATCGCGCGTCGACGGTTTCTGCTGCACGCGCCGTTAATGTGGGTTGTGCTGCAGCATCTGGAAGGTTCTGGATCAGCGATGGTGTCTTTATAATTTCTGCGCTGGGATCACTCACATTATTATTAATACTCCTGCGAAACCTCTTGACACACAACCTTACAACGTCTACTTCTAAACTTTGGCACACAGCATTTCCAAAGGTAGGCCCGAGTTGTTTACCCTGTGTTTACATTTTGCTTCTTAACTACACGTTTAGAACGTGATTCGGTTTCGTTGTATTTGGCTGTTCCTTTTCTCTGAGTCTGACATTATATCTGTTAAATATGTCAATGATATTTTATCTGCTGTAACAATTCTGTAACTTTACCTCTGTTAGGGAAATACACAATACATGCCATGAAATAGTGTAAGTGATAATATATCTGTAAGTGAAACAAAATGATGTCACTAAAATGTGTTATCTGATAATACATCTGTAAGGAAATATCATACATAAATGTCACAAAATAGATGAGATGTGATAACATCTGTAACTGAAATAGAAAAATGTCATAAAATATGATCTGTGATGTGCTAATATCTGGCTGTATGTGTAATATAATATAAAGAAGTATCATAAAATATATTTTATGTTAATATAGATGCAAGTAATAAATGTCACAAAATGTATTATCTGTGATAATACTTCTGTAAGCGAAATATAATAAATAAATGTCACCAAAATATATTATCTTAACATCTTTAAATGAAAGAAAAAATATCAGAAGTATATTATCTCACTGCAAGTGAAATAAAAGATATAAGTGTCAAAAATCAGTTACCATAAAAATAAACCAAAAATATTTAGTATTATACTGCAAATAGCAGTAATGGGATTTTGTGCCTCTCATTTTCCCAAGTTTTTGACAAGTTTTAGTAAAGTTGCCTAAATATTAAATTTATTAAGCCTGTTTAAAAAGCATTTACAGATTGGAAACCTTTGAATCCCGAATATCATGTGTATAATGTGTCTTGATCTCCATAGATGGCAGAAGGCAGGGGTAACAGGCAACACCCCCGTAATTTGCAAGGTGTGCTTCATATGGCAGTGGAGGCCGGCTCTGCTTCGGACGGTCCGGCTCCACTAGAACCCATGACTCAAGAGGTGAGCATGCAATCCCTGACAGTTATTTACATGTCAGGTCTGTAATATTGATGCTCATTAAAATACGTAAGTTTAAAATGCAGTCATCTATAAGTAAACCACGTTCTCTCTCTCTTTCTAGAGGTTGGAGTTTCTGAGAGGAGCTCTAGCAGAAGTGTGTAAAGGACAGATGGATGAGGTCGAGCAGATGAAACGGTGTTTGGACGTGTTGAATAGAGATGAACGCAGGGAGGGAGAGGAGGAGGAGGAAGAGGAGGATGAGAGAGAGGAAGCCCTGGAAATGCTTTCTGAGCTCTGTGAGAACCTTGACAATGCGAGAGGTGTGTATGTGTGTGTGTTTGCTCTTCAGACTTTCTTCTTGTCGTCTTGTGGCACGTAACGCACGCATCCCTTCTCTGTGTGTATTGCAGATCTGATGAAGCTGGGCGGTCTGGATTTGTGTATGTCCCGGGCTCTCTGTCACTCCGAGGCGGGAATTCGCTGGAGAGCGGCTCAGCTCATCGCCAGCTGTGCCCAGAATATGCCCGAGGTGCAGTTCTACCTGCTCAACCAGGGGGCGCTACTGACACTCCTGCAACTCACAGATCACGACGCAAACAGCACAGTTAGAGTTAAAGCACTCTACGCCGTGTCCTGTGAGTAAAGTTGCGCATGCAAGAAATTTTATATTGGGTGCATACGGACACATTTGTGTGTGAAATGATACACCAATAACTTTGGCCTTTAATTTATTCTAAATCTAGGGAGAAATGTTGGAACAACTGAAACCACACATTTGCATAAATCACACTTTTGTGAGAATTTGCAGGAAAATAAGAAATAGCTTTACACAAACTCTATCTCTGATAGCATAGCAATAGCATACTGTATATCTACTACACGACCACTCTCAAGTCTGTATGTTCTTTTCTAATATAAATGAATAATTAAATATGAGAGAATTCACATAATTGTTAATAAACGAGTAGAGCTGTGCAGAATCTCTGATTTGGAGAATTTGGGGGGATAAAAAGTGCAAATCATCTTCCCAATCGGCTGTTGTCGACAAAAAAAAAACTTTAAAAAAAGAAATGCTTGAAAATGAAGAAATTAAGACATTACAAAGTATTGTAATTTTTCCATTGCAAAAGAAAATGATTATTATTACCAGTATATTATTTTTCTTAAATACTGCTTTTTTATTACACAGTTCAATTTTGCAATAGTAGTGTTTCTTATTTTGTTTAATATTTTTATTTAGTAGTGTAATATTCATTTGAATTTTGGCCGAATTGTGCATCCCTACAAACAAGCACTAAAATCGCAAATTTTTTTATCTAATTTTACCATAAATCATACAGCCTTAATCAGCCTATTTATTTTATTATATTTAGTCTATATGATTTAGGTTATTTTTGTTTGGTGACCCAACATTGGATCTTTTTAAGTAGGACTCCATTCATTTAGTGGCAAGTCTCCTCCTTGCCTGTGAAATTAAGCATCTTCAAATCTGGTCTTTCCCAGGTTTAGTCCGGGAACAGGAAGTAGGTCTGCGGGACTTCCTGTCGCACGATGGTTTTTCAGTGCTGATGAGGGGGATGCAGTCAGACAGTGAGAAACTGAGAACTAAATCTGCTTTCCTTCTCCTCAACCTTCTGTCCAGTCACCCCGAACACAAAGGTAGCGCTGAATCTGAATGCAGACACTTCGAGCATCTGGAGTCCAGTTTGTACGAGTGTTTCATGTTTTCATTCTTAATTTCTCAGAGACGGTGTTGTCTATGGGGATGGTTCAGCAGCTGGTGTCAGTTCTTCGGTCCCCTCATTCCTCTGTACATGAACATGTACTTGGTGCCCTCTGCTGGTTAGTAACGTTTATTGCGTGATGAAAATGAAACTTCAGTATGCTGATGGAATGGAAGTGCATCAGCTTTTGGAGTTTGACCCTTGTTTTCTGACTGTTTTTCTGCGACATCTATGTGCGTAGTCTGGTTGAGGACTCTCCCCGTGGTGTGAGTGATTGCAGAGATCCATCGCTGGGCTTGGAGGAACTTCTTAACCAGCGAGTGCAGGACCTAAGGGGACAAGAGGAGAGCCAGGTAAATTCATTCGCTCATCTCTTAACTGTTCACTTTCATATCAAATGTTTTAAAGTCCACATGTAATAAAGATGGACCCTTTTTCCTTTTTTCCTTGTCGTATTATCTGTGATTTGTTGATGCATGTTCTTCCAAAGAAAAAAAGTATGGTTTTGGAATCCTTCACCAATATTAAAGGTTAATTCCACCAGTGGAGACATGAATATGTATTGAAATTGGGTGATATGTAGTAGAATAGTATCATAAATCCCTAATTTGGGTCCTCCTTGGCCGATAAAAGGCAGAAAATGACTTTTTAGTGCTTGTGGAATGTAGACAACAATACCCATAGTGCATTGCAATGCCAGACATGCCTATTAGCACCGTGTTTCGGTACCCAACCCTATCCATAATCCATAAAAGCCTTTTTAAAATCGTACACAATAATTAAATGCATATTAACATTGACACTATGCAGTTTTACCACAATATTAGCAAATGGAATTACATTTGCCAGATATCATGAGCCAGTCTGTGTTTGGTATTTGAAAATAGTTGAAATAAAATATAAATATTAGATAAAAAAAAAAATAATGTAGAAATGTTGGCAGAATCTAAAGTACTAAAATAGCTAAAACTGAAAAAAAGAAAAAAAACGAAGCTAACATAATAAAATAACAAAATTAATCATGTATTTACTAATTAAAAAATATGAAAAAGGTAAAGCAAATTCAAAGTATTAATAAATAATATTTATTATAAATAAAAAAATGAAGCTAACATAATAAAATAACAAAATTAATCATGTATTTACTAATTAAAAAATGTGAAAAAGGTAAAGCAAATTAAAAGTATTAATAAATAATATTTAATATAAATAAAAAAACGAAGCTAACATAATAAAATAACAAAATTAATCATTTATTTACTAAATAAAAAATATAAAAAAGGTAAAGAAAATTCAAAGTATTAATAAATAATATTTAATATAAATAAAAAAAACGAAGCTAACATAATAAAATAACAAAATTAATAATGTATTTACTAATTAAAAAATATGAAAAAGGTAAAGCAAATTCAAAGTATTAATAAA